TAACTAATTTTTGAGTTTGTCAGACAGAAATCTGGAAAAATGCACAGTCATAAAAAAGCCAAAATGATAGGAAGCAATGCCATTTTCTGCAAAATACTTTGGGTATAAAAATAAAAAGATTTGCATTTATATTAACAGAGTAATCCTATGCAGCAAACAATTATGTTAAAATCAGTCAAAGCCATGAGCTTTAAATTAATTTTAGCTTTAGTTAGAATTGGGCTTCAATAGATTTTTGAATTTCCACAGAAAATACGAGCCTCTAGGACTTCATCAAAACCATCTTGTGATACCTAAGGAACTTAGGATATATAAAAATGCTCTGCACCAAATTTAAAAAAGTACATTCTAAATTATTGGTTTTAGCATTAATGAATATCATAATAAGTAAAACATTTATGGGGTCTGATTGAATGCTCTTTATTAAAACATTTTCCTTACAATCCCAAATATTATTATTCAAAATCTGCCTGAGATTTAATAGAACAGAATGTGAAAAGTTACTTACTGCTGCCTTGTAAATATCATCCATGGTTAGTTATTGTGCGTTAGGAACTAGATGGAGATGAACAATGGTACAGAGCAAAATATCGACCTCTGCCAGCTTTCTGTTCTTTGAAGCACTCCTTTTATAGTAGGCTGTCAGCCCTAAATGTGTCAGTCAACAACTACACAGCCCAGTATATAGACATCTGTGAATGGCCATGCTATTCATTCCAAGTCTAACTCTTCACCCTGTCTTCGGGGAGGTATGCAAAGTTTGTTACAGCTGACATTTCTAAATTCTGATCCAATTTTTTTGTTAGGAATCAGATAGTTCCTATACCACACATTGGGCCTTACGGCCATCATTTACTATGGGTTTGAGGCATTCTGATTCCATGTGCTTAATAGTGATTATAACAAAAATCAAAATGTTTGTAAAGTCCCCATCCCCCTGGCAGAACAAGAGTGACCCACTAAAATAACTATCCTTTTAAAAGAGCTCTTTTCCAAAAGCTGTATGTATGTTATAGAACAAAAGACAGGCTTCATAGGCATGCATTCTAGGCAAAGAGAACAAATATCAAGTACTTCTTTCCACAGACAAGTTTATGGCACCCAATGAAACCATCGCAGATTGTTTTGATCGAATTGCTTTTTTAAAATGCATTCCATCAACCTCCCTAATTCCTCAGACAGAATGCTTAAGAGCCTGGTAGCCCTTTCCAACAAGGCTTCCTCAGCTGCATTATTGTATCACCTGATGATCTGACCGTTTGCACTGACTCTTTTATTTTGTTTGCTGCAAACATCTGTGCAAGCTGGGCAAATTCCTGCCTTTAAGCAAAACAACTTACTCAGCCATTCATATAGATTGTTCAGTGAGAGGCACTGGTATGAAGAGAATTTATGTGCTATAAAAAATATCTGTCCACTGACTGACAGCTCCCCCCTCTGTCTAAATATATTGCACACATCTAGGTAAAACTGACAAAAATTAATAAACCCACCCATATTAGCGAATATACATGATCAATAATCAAAAATACTTAACACGAAGCTTTCATACTAGTGTTCAGGTTATAGTTTCTAGAATTGATTGTACAAGATGATTAAAAATGTAAGGCTATCATTAAGACATGCTTTTTTCTAGTTGTAGACGTTTTTGTTATTTCTTCATTGTAATAAGGAGAAGTTATATTTTTCTTTACACTTACAAAACTCCAGTTTATTTTAATCCCATCATATAAATATATTCTTCATGCATGTGATCATACAGGCTAAGAATCCTATGAGAAATTCAGGCCCGATAGATCTGAAGTGCATCTAAGTGGGGGAAGCTGCTATATGCTATATGGCACAACACAGGACACGGGTGTCAAACTTGATCATGTCACGTGACATATCGCAATGTTTTTTGCCTTTGCAGAGCCGGGGTGGGAGTGGCCTTTGTGCATGACGCATCCGGCCCGTGGGCTGCCAGTCTGATACCCTGACATAGAAGAACAAACCCATCAGGACAAGAGTTAACAATCCATCTGCATTTAAAAGACAAAGGCTACTCTTTCAAAGACAGCAAAGTCCACATTTTGGAGAGAGAGGACCACTGGTTTGAAAGAGGGGTCAAAAAGGCCATTATGTCAAAATTGAACAGCCTTCTCTCAACAGAGGGGGAAGAATCTGAAATCATCTATCTCCAGTCTACAACACAGTCCTTTCAATAGTTCCAAGAAAGCTCCACACCCATTTGCACTACTCAGGTGACCCTGAAGATACAGATAAGCCTCCAGGTAGCTTTAAACGACTCACTAAAAGAATGCAAACGAACAGTTTTCTGCAGGAGTATAAATCTTTCCATTCCCCACCATCCAGTCAGAGCTGAAGAAGGTTCTTGGATGAGAAGCAAAATGTCTTCAAAGAAAAACAAGAAAGTCCAGTTGCCTTGTGGAAAAGCATCTTTGGGATACTCTTCCTTGTCTTTCTACTGCCATCCCATTTCAAAAAGAGTTGAGATTTTTTTTAGATTCCAACTACCCAATCTTTCCCTCTGGCAAAGAAGCTTTATGTCAGACAGAACTACATTACTAAATAGTTTCATAGATGAAACATCACTTGGCAGAAAATATAAAGATTGATCTGACACACACTCACCTGTGATCCAATGTGTTTTGAAACATGTTCAGATCAAAGAAAAGGTGTGGGAGGAAGAGACCATTAGATCCAATCTTGTCCTATAAAACATGAGGAATATTTTCCTTGTAATGTTGGAGCTTTACCCACAAGACTTCTGCAAACAAGCAGTACTTGTATGTACAACACAGTGCATTTTATGCCTGGGATGATTCTATAAATTATTAACAGAAATAGATGGCAAAGCAACCCTGTGACTTTATATTGCAACATATAGATAAGGTTGATTAAACCTGGTAAGGAATCTTGATCTGTTTGTGTTAATAACATCACTGTCCATTAATGATGGTACAGTACTTCATGACTCTGTTCCCCGGCTTGATCTTCTCAACCTTCCTGATCATAGAACACAAGTCCAAATACTGTTAATGAAGAAAATCAGCATGTTGCATGTTATTTGCCAAATTCTTGAAAAAAGCAGAAAAAAAAAGAAAAAGCATTTGGTGAAAGATTGGCAGTGAAACCACAGTTTAGAATAACCAAAAGGAATAATGCAGGATTTGGCAATCTTTTGGTCAGTAGACAGCAAACCTATTTTTGGGAACTAATGGCTATAGTAGGTAGAAACCATATTACATGCAATGTTGGAGAACCAGGGTTCTCTGCCTCCCTACCCACACCGATAGTTATTGCTTTCCTTTGTTTTTTATAACTATGAAAAAATCTTTAGGAGTGATGATTCATTTCTAAACATTCTTGTCCATTCCCTTTATAAAATCAAATGAAATCAGTGTTAATTGAAGAAGACATTGTGACCTTCAAAAAAGTGGCTTGACCACAGTAAACCCTAGAACTTTATACAGCTTTGAAATATTGTCATATGTTTGTTCCTCTACTTGGCAGCAAATGCTTAATGTCATAAGAAAAGAAAAAATAGGAAAAGAGAAAAACGGAGTGTGAACAAGCAGGTTTTGTTGCCCATAGTGAACAAGATATTCTTTGGAGATCTACAAGTAGAGATTTCCGTATCCATCATGTTTTGCCATTCTCCCTCTCCTTCATATATGCCCAACTATGCTCAGCAGGACAACCAGAGTTTGGGGTCCCAGTACTCCATTTTACAGTGCAGTCTATTTCTTACCAACACAACTGCTGTTAACTGTCATATCCATATCAACAACTGCTAACTGGTCATAGCAGCAGATGAAAACAGACTTGTACTGGACAGTGCAAAATTAACAATGCAGCAATAGGGATGTTCTTCTGCCATTTGTCTTCAAGATATTCCTAATGTACAGTTTTCCCCAAAAAGTTTTTTTTTTCTAATTCTCTTTAAATATCTTGGGGCATCCTTACTGTAGTAAAACTTCATTTGAATTAAAAGGTGTTCCAAATGTGACATAATTTATATTCACCTTTTCTTTTGAATTTTTATAAGCATCAATTTTTATTTTTTTCTGCTATTAGTCAGAAAACAAAATAAGAACAAAATAGGGAATTAAGTACACAAAAACAATCTCCTGTCAGCAAAATTTGAGGCCTGTCCAAGCCACCAGCCCCTTGCCAATAATTAACATCAGGAATATAAACAGCCTTTTCTCCACCTACTTTCAGGGTCAATGTTTCTCAGCTTTCTCAGTAAATGTAGAATGATGTAAAAGATTTGCCTTGGTGCTATAACTTGTGATGCATGCAGTATAAAAAATGTTCTCGTAACATGCAATAATCCAATGGTTTTTCATATCTCAATTGATTTGGAAACATGCTTACATTTCCTAAATTCATGACATGGCAATGTCTTGAGAAATTCCATGTCACTCTATTAAGCCTTGCTCTTAAGAGAGCAGCGACTGGACTACAAAGGCAGTATTGTAATAGCACAACTTTTTGGTTAACGTTAAGCAGGAGTGATCAACACAAGCATTATTCATGCTAAATAAATGAGTAGAAAATACGTCAAATCCTGCCTTACGGAGCCGAGAAGCTACTCCCCCACTCGGCTTTACTTCACTGGCCATGCTAGCTTAAAAGCAGCGATGGGAACGGTAGTCCACAATTTCCATTACAATTTTGTCTGTCCATCACAGTTACGCTGATGGGTTCAACACTTCCGAGTTTTCTCTACCTTTTACGCCGTAAACAAGTTGGGCAAAGGGGGTCGAAAACCCTTAAAATCACATCTTGCAGTGCAAAATAAAAGCCCCCTGCGAGGGTGCAGACTTCCGGGCGTGACTAGGCGGCAAACAAATCCCGATCGCCTCCCCGCTTTGCTGCCACCTCGCGGCCGACCGAAGCCTCGCAACCCAGATCTTAACCTCAAGGCCACGTAGGCTCCGCCTTCTAGCCCAAGACCATGCCCCTTTGTTTTCCCGAGTCTTGAGTGACGTTATCGGGGCCTGGCCTCAGTTGCGCTGATAGGGGCGGGAGGTGGCACGGGAGCAAATATGGCGGCCGTGACGATTGTAGTTGCGCTGGTCATGGCCAGCGCGGAGAGAAGCGGTGCAGTAGCTGCCACGACGCTAGCCGCCCTTGGAGCTCGCCTTCCACCAGCGGCGGAGTGAGCGCAGCAACCTGTCGGGCCCGACTTCTGCGCTCCGACTTGGGACATGGAGGCGCTGAGGACCACCGAAGAGGGCGAGGAGCCTCCCAAAAGTATTCGCATTCTTGGGTCGGAGCTGGTGGAGACCTACACGGTGAGACGGTGTGCGAAGGGGTTGTGGAGACGGTGGGGTCTGGCGAGTCAGAGGCGTCGCCCTGCCGGGGTCCCTTGAAAAGCGCTGTCGGTTCAGTCGTTGTAGCGAAAGGGCGAGAGGCTCCCTGTCCGGAGCATTTCGAGGATTCTCTGGGCGCCTCGAGGAGATTTCACTCCTTTTCTGAGGGGTCAGGACAAGCGCACTACTTGATTCTCGTGGGGCGCTCGGGCCCAAACTGTCTTGGCCGGTGCTTTTCGTGTTTTAGAATTTCAGGGAGTTCTTCAGTTCCCGGGTGGAAAAACAAAAGAAAACAGCATCCCTAGAGGAAGGAAATTGATGTCTCAACATCAGCAAGCTAAGGTGGTGTCTTATTCCGGGTTGCGATTGTAAATGGTCCTTTCCCGAAGCTGGCGCCTTTGAGACATGTGGGACTCTAGTTCCAATAATTCCCTGCCAGTATGATCAAAGTGCTGGCAACAAGTAATGGGCTGCCTAACTTACCTTGAAGGTGTCTGGTTGGGAAAGACAGAAAAATTATTCTCTTCTGAATAACATGCAGCATCCTTGGAGAAGGAACTAAAAATATAATACGTGGCTTTAAAGTAAAATGTGAAAGAATGTTAGTCAGCTGGTAATGTTCTTGAATCTGAATCAAATGTTGCAACTTATGAAACCGTTGATAGCAATCTTATTAGCTAACATTTTTGAAGTTTGTGGAGAAAAGGAAAATTATTTGTGTAATGTTTTTCCAATAACATTATTATTGCAATTGTCCTTTTCTACAGAGTTATGTCTCTGTTATAAAACAGCGAGTCAGAAAATATTTAAGAGCTAACATTGCAAAGAGATTTAATATATGAATATATAATTTAATATATCTCAGTTGTTTTGTTATATAACCAAAATGGGCTCATCTGCTAATTTTTCAGCTAAATAATTTTCATCTGTGAATTTTCTTTATGTGTGCATACAGTTTTAGTGATCTTTTTAATAAACTGATAATATACTATGAATAGGCCTTGTTTCATTGCAGTTTGCATTTAAAACGTTAATCAGTTTTTATTGAAATGCTTTGCAAAAATATTCAAGTTTATATATGGGGACATTTTTACTTAATCAGAAGAAAATGAATATTTGAAGAGACCTTAGATGAGTTCAATTCCCAGGACTATACTAATATATTTATATACTGTAGGTTTCTTCAAAATACATAAGTGGTTTGACTGTGCCTTTTGAGATGGTTTTTGACTTATCTGTCTGATCTATAGATCTGGGATTTCTTGGTTATCTTCCATGCAAGTACTAATAAGTTCTAACCTTTCTAAATTTTTTGAGATCAGTGAAGGTCATTCAGGTTTTATTAAGATAAAGTTCAATGGCATAGTTCCAAATTTAATGTTTGCTTATGTACACAGTATCTAAGGCATAATGCATGGACCAGCTAAAATTAGATAAAAGTATGTTTTCAGCAGAAGAGAGTAAAAGTATGTGGCTAAGTTTCTTATGTTGAAATCAATGTGCTAGATCTGTTTGGTTTGTTATTGAGCAGCAATATTTTCAATTCCAGGCACTGCAGTAGAAAGAAATGGATAGAAATCTTATTGCACAGTGTCACGAGCGTGTCAAGAATAAAATAAATTGAAGGTATAATTGTTGTGCAACTTGGTATAATTGTTGTGCAACTTGATATGTGATTAAATCTGATATATAAAACTTTGCTATTTAGGATATAGCAAGAAGTAGTTAAAAACTTTCCATTAACTGTTATGAAGTTTAGCCTGTTCTGACCTAATACCAGATAGAAGTGTTGGATCTGCAACCTCAGGAATTCACAGTTAGTATGATTTGCTCCTTCCCATTTTGGGTAGAATTGTGAAAGAAAAAGACACAATGCACTATGAGGGCACTGGATTGAAGAAGGTGACAATCCTATACATCCTTTTCTACAATACTTGCAAAAGTATTGTAAAAGGGTATAAGTATTGGAGAAGGGATGCTATCTTTCTTTCCACTTGTTTGTTTTCTCTTCACCAACAAGTGTTCAACCAGGAATTGGAAAAACTGAGCTACAAGCCAGAACCTGTTATAATAAAAAATACACTTTCAAATTTGTAGTTTATCTGTCCCTGTTGATTAGAAGAGTAAATAGAGAGAATGGGCTGAATTCAGCAGCACTCTTAGACTAATAGAGGTTCACGATTTTCTGGAATTCTAACTTAGCATTGTACAGGATTATTGCTCACATCATCTAGAACAAGGTTGTCAAATTGTCGGCCCGTGAGGCCGCGACCATCCCAACTTCGGCAATGCGAAAAAAGCCGTAATATGTTGCGCCATGTCACGTGATGTGGTGAGTTTGACACCTGTGATCTAGAAGAATACTGTTGCCTATGTTGCTAATAACTTTATCCTCTTTCATAAGGTCCAATATGAAATCTTATCTATTACGCTTATATGCCTATGGATAAAGGGTATTTTGGATTTATTCATCTGTCTTTATATATTCACTACCCTTTTAGATTATTTCTCTGATGAAATCTCAAGCACTAAACGCAGAGCTTCCCTGTCTATTTGGATAATTATAATTATGATTCTTTGTAACATTAAATGTTTAACTCTAGAACTAAAAATGGCAATTTCTGAGCATATGTATATCTTTTGTATGTTCATTGATGCATAGATTGTTATGTTCATTTTAGATGCATAATTTGGAGGAGTGCATGTGCTGGAAAAGCTAAAGATGCAGCCCAAATTTTCTTTGAATGTTTTGCTGCAGCATCTTGTATTTCTACTATTCATTTTGCAAAGCAGCTATAGTTCCTTTAGCAGCCAGAGCTGCTGCAGTGAAAACTTCAAAGACATTTTCATGCATATGTAGCTTCAGTAGGTTGCATAACAGTGTACTATAACAAGGTTCCTAGTAGTATTTCAACTACATTATTTATTAGAACTAGCACATTGTATATTCTAACATTTTAATGAGTGAATGAAATGGAGAAATGGAAGCACTTAGAATTACAGAGGTGCGAGGGACCTTGGAGGTCTTCTAGTCCAACTCCCTTGCTCAAATAGGAGACCCTTTACCATTCCGAACAAATGGATCTCCAATCTCATCTTTAAAACCTCCAGTGATGGAGCACTTACAACTTCTGGAGGCTAGCTGTTGCATTAATTGTTCTGATTAATAGGAATTTTCTCAATTCTAAATTGGATTCTAAGTTTGTTAAGCTTCCACCTGTTATTTCTTGTCTTGCCCACAGGTGCTTTGGAGAATAGGCTGATTCCCCTTCCTCTCTGTGAACCTTTGCCTTGGCTAACCCTCTCCCCAGTAACCCAGTCAGTTAAACAGATACTCAGAACCAGGTTGTATGTGACGGTGCTCATAACATAGCTTTCTAAATAGGATACATACTTTTTGTGCTTAATTTGTAATTTCCCCAAGGGATTATCATCTTGGTATAATGGAAAGGCTCGGTAGCTTCACTGATTCTGAAATTGAAGCCAGCAGAGCATGTGCTATCTTGCAGGAAAATTGGAACAGAACAGAAAAGATGAAGCTATGAATATACAAGTAGTTCTCATTTAGCAACTGCCTTGGACAGTGACCATTGGCACTTACGACAATGATAAAAAAGTGACTTTGTAGCCAAAGTATGCATTTATGATCCTTGCAGTGTTTCTCTGTTATGTATTTACCATTACAGCCAGTGTCAAGCCTAAGCCCAAACATGATACAGCAAGATCCAATTGAATCTAGTTCTTTATTTTCTTATACTTAATAGACAGACTAAACCTATAACCTAATAGAAACACCCTGGGGGATTCTAGTATGTGGCTACCCTGGAACCTTTCATCTTTCCCCCATTCAGTACAGGACTGCACAGCCTTTGGACTCCTCTCTGGAATGTGCTCCCATCAGCCTGGTCCTACTGGTGACATTCTCACCCCTCCATTCCTTCAGCTGCACATTCCATCACAGTTAGTACGGTATCATGTTCTGCCTGATCCATTAACACAATAGAGAGATTGCTTAAACAGGCTATGTCTTCCTGAGCAGTTTTTCTGAATCTTTTTAATGCTGCGACCCCCATCGGTCGTAAGTCGAGGACTACTCAACCGATCGTAAGTCGAGGACTAACCCGGTCGTAAGTCGAGGACTAACCCGGTCGTAAGTCGAGGACTTTCCCTGCCCGGGAGTGCCGCGCATGCGTGGTGCCGCCTCCTGCGCCGGCCGAGGCGTAGCTGGCAAGTGGCAGAGACGGAGCAGGCCGACCACCAGTTGGGCCAACAGCTGGCCCAGCCCAAGGGAGGTAAGGCACCCGCCAGGCCCCACACGCGCCAGCAACCCTCCCTGCGCCTGCCGGCCTACCACCTCCCACCCCTGGCCCTCTTTTACTTACATTTTTAGTAGTTGCTCAGCAGGGAGGGGTGGAAACTTCCAGACAGCTCGCCTTCGCTGCAGACAACTTGCAGCACCGTTTCCAGAATGGGACTTTTGGCGGGCTCAGCAGGGCAGAGACAGCCTGGACAATTCCTATTGGCTTTGGAAAGCCAATAGAACTAGACTCTATTCAAGAGAGTCTATTCTATTGGCTTTCAAAAGCCAATAGAATAAAAGGGAGTAGCACAGCTAAGGACAAGGGGAAAAAAATGGCGGACTGTGTTGTTTGGCAACCCCCGTGAAATGGTCGTTCGACCCCAAATGGGGTCCCGACCCACAGGTTGAGAACTACTGCAATACAGCCTTTCCCAAAGGGTGCTTAACATCATGTTAACAAGCTTTGCTCTGTAACTTTAATTAGTTAAATCTTTAGGCAGGCAGCATTGCTTCATGACACTTAAAAGCTTTTGTTCGCCTCCTGAACAGTTCTTATCCTCTGTAATCAGCATTCATTTGAATGTGTATTCCCAATGTATTCCTGCTTATTCTCTTGTAATCCCTTGCTCTCCAATGAATGTAATTACAAATCAATTCAATTCTAGCCAAGGTGAATGTTCCAAAGATTGGAGAGTAAAGAAAAAGGACTATAAGATGTGCTTTTTTAAAACCTTGTTTTCTCAACAGCCAAATTCTATAAAACCTCCCTGTGGTTTGGATTCATATCCTTCTGACGCTGTAAAACAAAGGAAACGTGAAGTGAAATCATAATCATAATCATCCTCATGTGATGTTAAGTTAGCAACAGCTTTGCTTACCTATTGAGTCAACAGAGCCAACTGAAGTCAATAAGTGAGGACTATCTGTAATCAAGTGGAGAGGGTAGGTGGCATCTTCATGTATGAGGAAATCCAGCTTAAACAGAAATTTTTCAAAAATTAAAAAGCAAAGGCAAACCATTTCTCAATTATTTTCAAGTAAACATATGCTTTCATGCCAGATTATGCTCACTGGTTAGGATTTAAAATAAAACTGTTAATTAATGGGAGGTTAATCTGGAAGTCATGACCTTGAACAAAACCATAAAGAAGTCTGGTTGTTGAGAAAGTGACTAATTTCAAATTTAGAAAAGAAATTTCTTGATTAAAGGACAGTTGAAATGCAGAATGAGAGAACTATAAACCAAGGGGGACTTGGAATTATCAAAGTGGAAATGAACCATTCAAATTAGATATTTTAGGTCTAAAGTAGAATTTAGTTTACTAAAATTAGATGAATATATGATAAAGACCTCAGGTCGTAAGACCATACAAAGGAATGAAGTGGCATTAACACTCAGAATAATCTCAGCTGTAACTCAATAAGTAAGTTCATGTGTATTAGAATTATTCAATATCCTGTGAACATCAGTGTTTTACAAATATGAACACTTATTTCAGAATCAGTGATGGAAGAGAGTGAGGTAATCTATAACAAATTGTAAGAAGCACTATATGCAGAATATAGAAAGAATGTACTACTAATGGCTAATTGGAGCACCAATGTTGGAGTAAAAATTGGACATTGAGAAAGAGCAAGAGAAAAAAAGATGACTTCAAATTACAGAATTTTATTGCAAAGAACCAGTTAGATGCTGGACTAAATAAAGATGAGCCACTCCCTTATAGCAATGATCAACAATACTTGTACTCTTTTTTTAAAAAAAAACAATTTTTATTAATAAAAATTAATAAAACAATACTTGTACTCTTCAGGCATGTGATGTGAGTCAATGATTGTCTAGAAAAAAACTTAAGATTCAGGGACATTGAAGAGGAAAACAGATATGGTAGAAGGACAGTGCTCAGGAGAATGCTGGAATGTCCTTGAAAGAGTGACAATTGAGATGGAAGAAGTTGCCCATAAATTCATAAGACATTAGGGCCAAATCATGGCATCTAGCTGTATTTAGAAAAAAAGTCTTACACTTAAGGAAAAATATATCCTGTCAGCATTATCTTAGCCAATTAAGACTTACATTAATAATGTGATTGCTATATGACATCACATAGCTTTGTAAAATTAGTGTTGAAACAGTGCAATTTAAGAATATAATTTAGAAATCAAGATCATTGAAAAAGAAAATGAGTTATTGTGATACTTTCATTTTGGTTGAATAGGGGCAAATACAATTTACTTGCTTGCTACTTCACTGAAGTTGATTTCCATTGCTCTAAAGAAGAGGCACCCTAAGTTTTATATTTTTGTACATTTTAATGCATTGAATATCCCTCTTCTAATTCTTGTGTTTTCATTCTGTAGATGAATAAAAGTCATGCTAATGCTTTGTGGGTATATCTAGTTTTGTTGATGCGTTATGAAAAGCCTTCCAGTTTTATCAATCCCAATACCATTGATTTATTCATTTTTAGCTAAGCTTTGTTAGTTAATTTCAAATATTTCTGAAGAGAAAACTCTTTAACGAGTGTGTCTTATTCCGTGAGGTGGACAAAAATGTATATGTGTGAGGGGAGTTTTGATAGCAGAATGAGGCCATGAATATCTCTATTGAAACAAAATAACTACTTATTTATTTAGGCACTGAAATTAGAGCATAGATTACTGAAATCTTTTCCGTCTACTTTCACCAGTGGGGTTCACATGGCTTAAATGGAATTTTCTCCATCTCTGAATAGAGCCACCTGTATAAAAAAAGCATCTCCAACCAAATCCTATTAATTTTTGTAATGTTGTTTCAGATTAGTTGCTCTTTACCTATATGATTTTATTTATTTTGTGTCCAGATCAAACCTTAAACTGCCAAAATGAGGCCACCTTTTTGGCTTTATCATTAGCTAGAAACAAATTACTTTCCATGTGTTCTACTGATAGTAATTGACAGACCAACAGATAGGTCAGGTTCTGCATCTCTACCAGCAACTCCCACTTGACCATATTGGTTTTACACTTAGGCACCCCCAACTTCAATCTATTCAATATTCTACCAAGTGACATTGGGGAGATCAGATCCCTCAGCCATTACCTTCTGGGATTATTCCTTGTTCCATTACTTCTCTCCTCCATCTTCTAATTCAGTTTTGCTCCTGTATACATTCAAGAATACTTGTTCGTGCCATAAAACTCTTCCTACCGCGTTTTCCCAAAAGTCTACCCCAAAAATAACCCCTAGTTTTGGGGCTAAGCGCACGCTTAAAAATCAAGCCGGGAAGGGTGGGGGGTTGGAGCTTACCATTGCAGCCAGGCCTCCCATGGATCAACACTTGCTTTGCCGGCCCAATTCGTCTGTGGCCGAAGGAGCAGCTTCATTCTGCAGCTGATAATGTAGCTCGGGCCTGCATTCCGGAAGGCCTATGCAGCTGAGAACCGAGCTATGGATTCAATCCACAGCTCGGTTCTCAGCTGCCTAGGCCTTTGAAAAGGCCTCTGACTGCAAAATGCAGGCCTGAGCTCCATTCTCAGCTGTAGAATGGAGCTCCTCCTTTGGCCACAGAAGAAGTGGGCCGGCTGGGCAGGGTTGTTGGTGCTGGAGGTGACTATGGGGTGGAAAGACACCCCATAGCAAACAATAAGTTAATTTAACAACTGCTGCATGCGTCATAAAATTAGGTCCTGTCATGTGGTGAGCTGCTTTGTGACCATCACAACTTACGACTGAAATTGTAGGTTCAATTATGGCTGTAATCAAGGACAACCTGTGCTTAAGCTGTTGAATTCAACATGTTAATGCAAGATCCAAATTAAAGTATCACTGACGAATGAGCCTTTACTTAAATATTTCTAATGAAGGGAACATCACTATCTCTGGTAATTAGTTCTACTTCTGAGCTGCTCTTTTTATTAGAATTCTATTTTTCTAACAGTTAATCAAAATCTGCTTTGCTCAAACCCATTATCCCTTATTCTGCATTCAACAATGTAGAACGGCCTTTGGCCGTTCTTGTTTGACATTCTTTCAGGTGTTTGAAGGGTGCTATATATCTAGACTTAACTACTCAAAGCTAAAAATGGCAAGATCCTTCTATCTCTCTTCACAGGATTTAGCTTTCCAGTCCCTGCTGATCCTGTTACTTTTTTCAGAACCTTTTTTTTTTTTGTTTATTTGAAAGTTTTAAAGGTTGTCCAGAATTGGGCATAGTGGCAGGACTGACAACAGTACTTGATGTGGGATATGACCGATATTGAATATTGTGAAACATTACATTGCATTATTTGAAAACTGTTTTATTCTGGGAATCTAAAATTTGGGATGTTTTAAGGAAGCTTTATGATCAAAACTAAGGTAGCTATTATTACTTTTTCATTTGTTACAGTTTGTATAGTGTAATAACATTTCTGGACAAGTCTGTGCTGACATTCTGTTCATTTCATGGTTTCCAAGATATTCAAATAACAATAAATTGCAGGCTATGAGCTATTGTACACTTGGGAAGGATGTAGGGATTTTATACATATAACATTTTTGAGACCAACTAGGTATTAATACATTTCATAAGAGCTTCTGTGCCTTTTTAATGTTAGCATGTTACAGTAATTTTTAATAATGATTTTCTGTGTTTTATAATGATTTTTTAGAATAATTTTTATATATTCTGATTGTATTTGATTGTTGTATAGCACCCAGAGTCATGGTGAAATGGGTTGCTATATAAATCTGATAAATAAATAACTTTTAGATTTGTACAAACTGGATAATATTTTCTTTTCCAGGTTGTTGTTTTAGCTTTTTCAAAATGGTATTCAGTTTACCTCAAACAATAACAAAATAATAACCTAGTATAAATAGAAACTGACTTCTGCTTTGTTGTAATTTTTTGGTTACACTGTGTTCATATAACCATTTGAAGTGGAGAGTTGTACGTGAAAAAAAAACCTTGATAGAATTTAAAATAAATGCCGCATTACAAGAATTGTATATTTTTATGTGAATGTGTATTTGTTGATTAAAAGTTGTTTTTCTTTTAGGTATATATCATTCAAGTGGCTGTTGGAACCCATGAGTGGATAGTAAAACATCGATATAGTGACTTCCATGATCTTCATGAAAAGGTAATTGTTCTGAAATTGTATCCTTAAAAGAGTTGGCTTAATCTTTGACACTCAGTCATTTAGAAAATGTTCCAGCATGCTTGTATGCTTTTTGAAAAGGAATACTGGCTTATTAAGTTGTAGGGGAGTACTGTTCTAGGAGCTTGTTTTAGCTTTGCCTAATGGAAAAAAAAGGACTGAAGAGTGGGAGATAAGTTCTTTTTCTAAAGATGCTCTTCAGAAGCCCAAAATTCACTTGCAAACCGAAAGATAATTATGTTTTAATTATGTTATCTGCTTACCCAGTTAAGTTATAGAGTGGTAATTAGGAAATAGCCTTCAAAATTGACAGAGAAATTGAGTTTATATCTCAAGTAGCTGCCATTAGAAATTAAAAGTCGTTTTAAAAAAATGTATATAGATTAGATTATTACCAATTATTAATAATACATGCTATTTCTATGAGAACTGGGTCTTATTATTAGTATTATTTAATGTTATAAGTCTTAAAGCACTGATTCATTCAGAGGCTAACCTAACTTTGTGTCTTTTATAGCTTGTTTTGGAGAAGAAGATAGACAAGAATATATTGCCTCCCAAAAAGATTATTGGTAAAAATTCCAAAAGCTTGGTGGAAAAAAGAGAAAAAGAGTTGGAAGTATACCTACAAACTCTTCTTGCTATATTTCCATTGGCAGCGCCCAAAGTACTATCACAATTCTTACATTTTCATTTGTATGTAAGTTCTTTCCTACCAGAATTTAATGAATTTTGCACTGTTATCTTTTCAGTTCATTGCGTTTCTTTTAAACATAAGATCATTGTTATTTACCAAACTGTTACTGTTAGTTGAGCAGTCAGATGGCCTGCCATTGAATTTGTTTGTTTATTTATTTATTTAAAAATGCTTTTAAGTTAGTTTAGTCAAAAACTATTCCAAGCAGGTTCCTATAAGAAACAAAGATAGATAGAAGGACAGATGGATGGATGCATAGAAGGATAAATGAATATTCTTAGTGCTTTGAATTGAACAAACTAGCAACCATTGCAGCTCCTGAACTACTGGTGTTATGTGGTAGTATCAAGGTGTTTCCATTAGTACATGGATAGTTGTGTTTTGTATCAGATGCAGTTTCCAAGTCATTTCCTGGGGCAGTCCTATGAAATCATATTAGAGTAGCCCATTTAGGAGGTGACAAATGGATGAGTAAAGTACCCTTATTCACCAATACATTCCACAGGAAGGAGAGATATAAATAAATAACAAAAACCACAGGTACTCCTTGGTCACCATTGGGACTGGAATTTCCATCACTAAGCAATGTAGTCGTAATACATGAGGTCATGTGACCTCACAGTCAGCAGTGGCAATTCCGGCACTCCCCCACTACTGCCTTCCTTTGTTCAGTTTCCTTCCGTGCTGTGTATTTTGCATAAAGTATAGCCATTATGGAACTTAAGCAGACAAATGATGGAAGGGTACTTTTGTTTAAAGTGCTATGAGACTAAGCTTTTTCTTATTTACATTGCCTCATTGTTTAATGATTTTACTGCATTGAGCTGAAAATATTGAATCAGATGAAAATATTCCATGAAGAAATAAACATGTAATTTACATTATTGTTTAAGATATAAAATCTTGTAAAATGTTTTATGAACTATATGGATTTAAATATTTTGATTTTATATTTTTATTATTTTTTGCAGGAAATCATTGGTATCACAGCTGCATTGGCTGAAGAACTTTTTCATAAAGGTATGAAACATCAGAATTCTTAACATTTAATCCCAGTATTTTATCCCTGAAATAGAATCATATATTTTCTTTAAAAACCTTATTTATTACAGTGTACAGCAAAGAGGATAATGAATCCCACCAAACTATGTGATATTTATCTGTGAATAGATTCTAAAGTACTGTATTGTTGAAAATGTTGGGGGATGCTCATTCATAACAGTACAGCATGCAATGCATCTTCAATTACAGTAGTGGCTAAAATTGTGGAACCCTTTTGGGAAAAGTGTATTTTTGAAGTTTGATGGCTAATAACACCACTTTTTTTTGGAGTAGTACCATAAAATTATATATCAATGGAAAGATAATTTAATCAAGAATGCAATATAACATAGTTTGTTCAATTATCTCTACTATATTATATGAAAAGTTATAGACAAATAACCAGAAAAAAGGAAGCACAACTTGCTTAGGTTGATATCAGGTAGCTTTCCTTCATCTGATTGTAGCCAATGAGCATGAGTGCTTAGAGAGCCAATCAGGTGTCATCGTGTTTTCACAATGAGCCAATCAGATCACAGTAGGATTCAGTTACTGTATATGCCAGCGTATAAGACGACTCAGCGTATAGGACGACCCCCGACTTCGGCGGCGATTTTAATGCTTGCGAAAGTCGTCTTATATTCCGGAAAGTACGGTATTGATGTCATGTATTGAAGCAGAGAGGAGGTCATTTGTCAGTGTGTTATGTGATCGCTATCAAGTTGGTTGGGTGTTTTTTTTCTTTCTTTCATTTAGTGAGCTTGTAAAACGTAATAAAAATAAAGTAATGGTGCAAAGAGTTGATTCGTTGCCCAGAAAGCGATGTAAAATAGTATTATTAAGTGAACGAGGCTACAGTTATAAAGAAATTAGAAGAAAAATTGGTGGAAACTTAACCAAAGGTGGCATTTCTACTGTACACTTTTCCAAAAGGTTTCCACAATTTTGGCCATTACTATATGTTGGTTAGAGTCATAGGAAATTTCTTCTCTTTGTGATATTTAAAAAGGATTATTGAAGCTTATCTAAAATTGTTTCCTTTTGTTTGATGGTCAAATAATTATATTTCATTTTTTAAATTTATTTGTATCCCACTTCTTACAAACAACTCAAGGCGGTGAACATATCCAACACACCTTCCTCCTCCTATTTTCCTCACAACAACAACTCTGTGAGGTGGGCTGGGCTGAGAGAGTGTGACTGGCCCATAGTCACCCAGCTGGCTTTCATGGCTAAGGTGTGATATATACATGATAGATACACAAATAGGCATAAGCATTACATTAAATGTATATTATGTTTGTATGTCATGGCAAGTATAACTGAACTATACATCCTGAAACTTCAGTTTAATTCCCTGAACAATTTCTCTTTAACGAGAGAGTTCAGACTTAGATAAGGCATACTCAACTTGGAAAGAAGGAAGGACCACAACTTTAGAAATTGTTGTGGGCTACAAAAAAATAATAACTGGGACGCTGTTTGACAGGTAGCGATGTGGGGGCAGTGCAGGAGCGAGTAGTATTGGTGAGGACTTAGAGGCACTTGGCACCTTGTCTTCCAGGGCAGAGGTGACTGCAAAAAGCTAGGCGGTGGTGATCGATCCTGGAGGAAGTGGTGTTTGGCAATAGTGGATTTGTTAAGCTTTCAAAAAATACTAGCAGACTAGAGATGGTTGCTTAGCGGGCTGCATGCTGTTCCAAAGGTATTTTTTCAGGAGGCAATTGGACTTTCTTCTTTTTCTTTGAATGTGTTTCACTTCTCATCCAAGAAGCTTTTTCAGCTCTGACTGGATGGGGGGAATGAAAGGATTTATATTCCTGGCAGATAGCCGGTCATTTGCATTCTTTTAGAGAGTCCTTGAGGCCACTTGGGGGTTTGTCTGTGTCCTCAGGGTCACCTAGAGTAGTGCAAATGGGTGTGGAGCCTTCTTGGAACTGCTGAAAGGACTGAGTTGTGGAGCTGTGCTTTTTGCAGGATGTTTTGTGCCCTGTGTCCCTTCACCGTTGAAGACAGGCGCAGGCTGTTGGGGATGAGTCTGTGTTGTTGCCTCTCAAACTGAAGTGCAAATGGTTCCTGTAGTCTGCACTTTTTCTGGAAATCCCTTCATACACCCATTCGAAGGGTGTTCATCCCAAAGTGCATAGCTAAATGTCTGTGGAGATTCTCAGTCATCTAGGTCATGTTGGATCTAGGGCTGCACGCTATGCAGGTCTGGCTTAGATTTTGTTGGAATTGAAATTAGCCTGGCGTTACCCTGGCTTAGAAATGGCAGTTGGTTCATTTATTTTTTTAAATTTTGTGTTGTTATTTCTTCTAAGTATTTAATTGGTAACAAAATTATTCAGCCCATTTTTCCTTCTCCCATTTTTTTAAAATGTTACAAGTAGTTGTTGACTTACTATGGGCAATTGGAATTGGAATTTCTTTGCTAAGAGATGCAATCATAAAGTGCAACCACATCACTTAGTGACAGCAATCCCTGTAGTCCTTGTTTGTTGTTGTTAACTAAATCCCACGGTCATTAGGTGAGGCAACTTCCTGTCAAATTCCACAATCAAGATCACTGGGAAAGCTGGCAGGAAGATGCAAGTCCCGGGCCAGAAAACAGGTAAATGGCCCCTGCTGGATGGGCAGTGAGTGAGGCGTGGCAAGAGTGGAAGAAGGTAAAGGGAGTGTGCAAGTGGCGGGGTCAGGGAGGGTACATGTGAGTAAGAAGGGTGCAGAGGGTATACAAAGAGGCACCAGTTGAGGCGCATAAAGGTTGGGGAGGAAGCAGCACATATTAGGCAGGTGCAAGGGGGTGTGCAAGTGGTGCAGTATGAGTTTGGAAGGGTGTGCGAGAGGTGCCGCTCAGGGAGTGTATGCAAAGTTCCAAGGAGGTGCATGAGAAGAGTGGGTTGGAAAGTGTCAGCCCTTCCCCGCTGACCAGGCAGAAAACACAACAAGGTGGACTAATTGTAAGGCTACATTAATAACTGCTTGATCCATTAGATCCAATCCTTCCTAAGTTTCTTTCTCTGACCATTAAGCCACTGACTAGAGGCTTTTGGGTCTCTTGTCTGGTTGTTTCCTAGGCAGTATCTTTTCCCCTTGTTTCCCAAGATTATCCACACATTCCATTACAGGAAGAGTGCAAGAGTGTGTGAGAGAGGCTGCATGAGGGGAAGGGGATGCATGAACAGCCAGCGCATCGTGAATGCAGATGGGCTGGAAAAGGGTGCATGAGTGGGGAAGACTTACATTGACTTTCTGGGGAAGCCAGTAGGAAAGACTACAAATGTTGGTCATTTGATTGTACAGCACTGCAACAGGTTGTAAGAGCATGCTAATTGCTGAGCATCCAGATCAGATCACATGACTGTGGGGTATTGGGACAGTCAGAACTCCAAGAACTGATCATAATCACTATTTGTTTGGTGCCATTGTAACTTTGAACAGTCATTGAATGAATGCTTGTAGATTAAATGTACTCGTGTACTTGTACTTTCTGGATAACCACCACCATTCTAAGATAGAATGTCCTTCGAAACAGAAAAGATTGTATATCCTTGTTTCAAATTTTAACCACTATAACCATATCATATCTCTTTTACAATATTATTTTCTAGGTATTATTTCTAAATATATACATCTTGTTTTCTAGGAGAGCAATTACTTATGGCTGGTGAGGTCTTCAATATTAAACCTTTGCAGCTTTATGCTGTTACTCAACAGCTGCGTCAGGGGAAACCAACATGTGCAAATGGTGATGCCAGAACTGATCTTGGTCACATTCTGGATTTCACATGCAGACTCAAATATTTAAAGGTAACAGACTCTAATGCAAATATTTCAGCTGCTCATTTATGTTGTCTGTAGAGACTATGCTTTATAGCAGACATGTCAAACTCGCAAGTCACGTGACATCGTGCAACGTATCGGCACGGTTTTGCCATTGCCGGCAATGGGGTGGGCGCGGCTTCTGGATGATATGTCCGGCCCGCGGGCCGGCAGTTTGACGCCCCTGCTTTATAGGAAGTGTTTTTTGCCTTGGTGGAAGAAAGTAGCACTGTTGAGGTCTTCTGTTAAGATGGATGGTTAAGGCCCTCCATGATCTGCATATTTAAATTAGCAATTCAGATCTTTCTTATTTTAAAGACTAATAGGTATCTTATTGTAAGTTAAAAGTCATATGTTCCCAGTAGCATTGGAATTGAACAAAGAACAAGAATGCCAAAAAAATATATGATAGTCCAGATATTTGTCTGGATCGCCATATGAAGATGGAGATAATTCCATGAAGACAGAGATAATTGCCTCTAAGGTAGACTCTTGGAAAATACATTGAGCTTTAAAAGCTGTGTTGAGAAGATTTCTTTAAATTAAATAGTGAGATTAAAATACTTTAATGTGGTTTTAGTAAGATCTTTATATACTGTTATGTTAATTATTTCCTTAAGTTCCTTTTTTTGCTTCAGTACTACTTCCATCTGAATAAGTATCAGTTCTGGTTATAGAATTGTATCTCACTACAACAGTTTTTCATATCCTGTTTTTCCAAAGTTACACTTATTTTCTTTGAATAAGCCTATATGTTTTTGATCTTATATTTATCAGATGATAAGAAATACAATAGTACTGTACCATGCACTTGTGTTGATATTTATAAATTTACCCAGTGTTTCAATGAAGTTAAAAATTCATTCAGATATTCCCCCATTTAAATGTTAATACTTGAGCAAGCAAATCGGTGCATGCTTGAAATCTCTCACTATGCCAGACATAATTTGATGTGAAGTTGTCCTTCACTATGTTAGCAGTATTTGAATCTTTGTTTAATTGCCAAAATGATGAGTAATTCAATAAGGACTTCTTAATTGATACTATTTATTGTTATCTATAAGCCTCAGCATTTTCAGAACATTATTTTAAAGATTTAAAAGATTAATACAGTGGAAAGTATGTTAAAATCAGACCCTAAAAAAGAAGTTTAAATCCTTATATTTTTACTATTTTGTAAGAAAGAACAAGATTGTGGACATACCTTCTAATGTGCACAGTGCCTTGATACTGAGCAATGTGGCAGGCTCAATATTTTATTAAATTTAGTTATATAAATATTAAAATTTTGCAGTATATATTTATAAAACTCTGGAATATAATTTGACAAGATACTCAGTATTCTAAACAAAAACCATATCTGCACATTCTGTTTATTATTCTGTAAATCATATGTACATATTCATATAATAATATATATTTTTCCCCAGATAACTGGCACAGGTGGACCTGTTGGAAGCAGTAATATTCAGGAACATCTTTTGCCTTTTGACCTATCAATATTTAAATCTCTTTATCAGATTCAGGTAAAAAGAGCTTTGTGGAGTACTTTTTGGAAATTGGTCTCGTGTACTCTAAGGGTTTTGTATTCTTCTGGACTGATTGGCATCTTGGGTCTGGTAGTGGTTCTGATCCTTCTGTCCAGGAAGTCATGCTGAGGGACACTTGTTTAAAAGAAATTGTAAGGCTCCCCTAATCAATCAAAGTGACTATAAGCAACTTACATAAAATTTAACAACCCAACAAAAAGAATACAAAACTGCAGTACATAAATCAATAAGCAATAATAAAATGGCAATCCAAATAGAATGACCCTGTCATGCATTTTGGGACTTAATAGTTACAACCCAAAGGCCTGGGGGGGGGGGGGGAAATCAGTTTTTGAAAGCTTAAAAGGCCACTGACCTTTAACGTCCAGAAATATTCTGCGTTGGGTCTGGGATGGTAAATAATTACATGAAAGTGCTAATCTGTTTTTGGAGTAGATTATTGCTCCTGAATACCAGTAAGCAGTCTGAATTTAATGACAAGCTGAGTAATGAGGAAGAGATTGAAGTTAAATCTAGGCAGATGGGCATGTTCTTCATCAGTGAGAGATTAAACACAGGGATTGAGATTTAGCCTATTCTGGATGGGGTTGCGCTTTCCTTGAAAGAGGAGGGACACACCCTTGGAATGTACCCTGATCTTTAGCTGATAGTTGTGGGAAAGAAGCATTTATAGCATTACTGCTAACTTGACTGTCGGGTTTGACAACACCAGTTCACATATCATTTTATGTTTTGAGCATTGCAACACACTAGCAGGGCTAGGTCTGAAAAGAATCCAGAAATTCCATTGCAACAGCCTAACTGCTAAATAATATTAGAGTGTGAATTGGCAGTTAGATGTTTTACTTATCAGAATTTAAGGATCTGGTGTTAAACATTTAAAGCCCTAAACAGTTTTGTAGAGTTATGTGACTATTTGGAGGGGAATATTGTGAAACCTTCTGTTAGAAGCATTGAGGTCCCTGCCCTTTCAAAGGCCAGGACAACTCTAAGCCCTGTTCCCTGTTATCTGAGCGTGTCCATGCCCGCATAGAAGGCATTTCCACAGGGTGACTATCAAAGCAGACTGCCTTGTGCAGGACTGCTTTTTTCTTGATAAAACTGGCCATTAAACTCTGTAGGGGAGGCCCTGCTTTCAGAAGCATGTATATTCGGCATGAGGGAGAGCCTAAGCATGTGTCATCTCTTTGCATGACCTATTTAGCATTTGGTATCCATTGTCTTTGCAAAAATACACTTCTCTAGTCAGGCCTTTGAACATCAATAGTTTGATTATTAGGTTTTCAGTTACTTGTGATTTTTGTTTTACTTTTTGCATTTTTAGGTTGACTTAAACCCTAAATTGTTTTGAGAGTACATTTTCAATGGAAAGATAATGTATACATTAATTTTTTAAAAACTGTTTAATCTAGTCAAAGTTCTGCTGTTTTTAGCCCACCATTGCTTATTGTGACTAAGGGCTACTTCTTAGCCCCTTTGGCATTTCTCATCTTAATTTCCTGAGATTCTTGTAATTAGGGATGCCAGAAGCCGAGTATTGTGTGCATATTCTGTGGTTGCATTTTAGAACCCATCGCATGGTTTCTAAGGTAGCATAGCATAACCCATGCTAACTCCAAGTAGAAGTCTGTTTATAGCAGGGAGTCTGTGGAGGCCATTTTGCCTGTTTCTCTTTATTCTTCAATCCCTGCATAAAGCAACTCTTTGAGGGATCCCCCAAGCACTGAAACATTTTTCATAAAGGTTGTTTCACATTTTTGTAAGGAGAAAGAGTTCTCCTGTTTGTAGTTGTGCATGGCTATTTTCGGATTTCTGTATTAATTACCCCCCCAGAACCTGATTTCAGTAGTAGTAATATTTGATTTTTTTTATTTGAATCAATGTTGGGAATTATAATTGGCTTTCTTGACTTTTATTGCATTTACAGTATTCCCCTGAAGGAGACTTTTTAATAAAATACTGCAAAAACTTTATTATTTTTTTAATAAGTAAATAAGTAAAATTTCATGTGAAACAGTTTCATGTTTTCTTTTATTGCTGTTTCATTTTCTTTACTATTGCTTTTTCAAAATAGATAAATCACTGTGGTGCAAAACTTATTAATGGGCTGATATCTTCAAAGCACACTCTAGCAACACTAAGTGTACAATTCTCAGCAACATCCATGATGGTAAGATTCAGATGTGCTATTATGATTATAACTTGTTAAAAGCTGTATTTAAATCATAAAATTATTCTTTGTTCATTCAGCAGCTCAGTTTTTGTATATTTGATGTTTTACTATATACATTTAAATACTATTCTTTCATCTCTATTGATATTACTGATTTTTTTTAGTAAATTTATTTTATGGTATGTCTTATTTAGAATATTTAGCACTAAATTCTAAGAATACACAGATACACACATATGCACACATGTGCATATGTGTGTATCTATGCGTGTGTATTCTTAGAATTTAATGTTAAATATTCTAAATAAGACATATCCATAAAATAAAGAGTATGTTTGCAAAGGACAGTAATCTTAATTTCTTATCCAGATTTTAAATTTGTTTAGAAGTTAACAATTTTTGTCAAATAATGATTTACTAATCAGAAATCTCTATTCTCTCCCCCTCATATTAATTTTTTTTTTCAATTTGTGGCTTGATCAGGAGGTCCTAGTACCTGAGGCCTATGAATTTGACCAGTGGGAGCCAGAAGGTGCATCTTCAAATCCTGTGACAGCAGTTATTCCAACTTGGAGAACATTAACAACTTTAGATATGAGTCATAATAGTATAGCTCAAATTGACAATTCAGTGGTAAGGGTTCATAACAAATATTTCAGAACAGTTTCATAAGAGACAGAGAAGATATCTCTTCTGCTCATAGCGATGTAATCAGTACTTTTAATACTTGTTCTAGCTTGCAGAAGACTTGATAATTACATTGAATGTTACAGAATGGTGATAGCTTTTAATTGTAAAGAAGTCCACTCTTGTACAAAATCCCTTGAAATTTCTTCTTGGGCTATTGCTTGAAAAAAATAGTTCTAAAATTCTTAAGGGTTCACATTATTAGGGATTAATTATTTTGGATCAAGATTGATAACTTCTAATTGGACTGAAGGCTTACTATTCCTTTATTTTAGAAATTAATGCCGAAGATTGAATTTCTGGATTTAAGCCACAATGATGTACCACTAGTGGAAAATTTACAGGTTTGCTTATAATCTATCTTAATGATGTTGCCTGTGTGTGTGTGTTTTTTAATATAGCTGGATGCTTCTTGCTTTTATTTCTCATAACAATGCCTATTTGCTAGAACTTCCAGATTGTTGTCATTGGTATTAGTTGAACTAATTAATTGATTATAGCATAGTATAATATAGTATGTACCTTTGTATATTGTATACTTGTATCTAGTATATATCTTTGTATCGTGTTTCCCCGAAAATAAGACCTGGTCTTTTATATATGAGCTAGGTGGCTGCACAGTGCATCTGAATTGCCTGCCTCCTCCCCCTCCCCGTTCCTCTGCCTCTGTCTGCTGCTGGTGCCACTGTGCAAACCTCCTGCAAGCCAGGTGGCTGCGCAGCATGTCCAGATCTCCTGCCTCCCCTCTGTACCTCTGCTTGGAGGGCTGGCCTGGTGGTTGCACAGCACTCAAACTTACCTGTGCTGCACAGGCTGCGGCTACTGCCAGACATCGTCAACCCCCGTGCGCTCGCCACCTCCTGTGCTGGCCATGCCCATCCCCCAGCTTATTTTTGGGGTAGGGCTTATATTAGGCGCATGCTAAAAAATCAGGCTAGAGCTTATTTTCTGGGTGGGACTTATTTTCAGGGAAACACAGTAGTATAATATATCCTTTGTCAATAGCATGCATTCTCTTAATTTTTTTCCATTTCAACTCTTTGAGATTACCATCTTTAATGCATGCAATCCCTTAAGCAATACTAGATGGTAATTTGAGCCGGATTGCCTGTCGTCTGCTTTAGTAATACAGTGATACCTTAATTCTCATCATTAATTGGTTCCAGGAAGTGCAATGAGTACCAAAAATGATGAGTACCAATTTATTCTCATAAGGAATAATGTAATTAGTCACAAGGCAGCTGACATTGACATTGGGTACCAAAAAATTGTGAGTACCAGGACAAAATTTTCACATCAAAATGCATTGAGTACCAAATTCAATGCATTTCAAAGCAGTTGACTCCCAAGGTACCACTGTATGCTGCACTTCAGATAGCAATAGCACTTGGACTTATATACCACTCCATAGTGCTTTACAGCACTCTGCATGGTTTGCAATGTCAGCATATTGTCACCAACACTAATTGAAAAAGTAATTTGACTATGAAGTGCAGCCTATCCCATGTCTGTTAGCCCTTGGGAGGTTTTCAGCCTATCCCATGTCTATTAATTCAGCATGGGAAGTCTTCAGCATCGTTTTTAAAGTATTGCTGATGGGTCAGCAGACTTTTGACTATATTGTGTATAGTTCAGGGAAACAAAATATAAAATAAATGTTACATTCACCATTCTTGGAGTTTCTATTTGGTAGTTTTTGTAGAAATGTTTATTCTTCATATAAGACGTGTAATGACTACAGCCAATTTTTTGGGATATGACCTAAAGTAGGGAAAGCAGTGTTTAGGAGGGATTGCGGCCACAATTAAGCTTCAAAATAACTGGATAAAGGGGGATATCATGTAATGCTGTAATGTTACCAAAAGGTAGTGCTATTTTTAGGCTGATTTGGGGTCCTCAGCTTACTTTCATAACTCTCCTAAAATAGTTTAAAATTATGCCACCTGCCAAATTATGTTAGGATGATCTGAGGATGCTGGTAGGTCACTTGAAGCATACAGGATTCAGTGTGTCACTCCCAACCTAAAAGTAATTATTGGAATTCAGGACCAAAATTTCATCTGAGTTCAATTTAAGGATCTAATAGAGTTTCTCAAACTTGGTGACTTTAAGATCGGTGGGAGTTGAAGTCCAATATCTTAAAGTTGCCAAGGTTGAGAACACTGATCTACAGTAGTAGGATGACATGTTTTGTATTAGAAATGGTCAAGGGCATAACTATTATGTGAAAATCACTATCTTGCAAAGCCTTAGTTAGTCAGTAAAATGTGTGGAATAGATATTAATACATGATTTGTTGAGTTTAAATTATTTTTATTAGATGTGGAAAGATGAAAATGGAAAACCCATTCTAAACAAACAAGTCTTACATAAATACTGTATTCATGTTTTGTTATATAAATAAATTGTTAACATTTAAGTCACTTTATGTCAGAGTGGGAAACTAAAAGAAAATTAAACATGCAGTCTGGTGTCAGCAGCTCAGATATCTCACCTGCGATTCCTATTGGTAAAATATTTGTTTAAACATAGAAATGGGGAGCTCTTCAGGTTATTCTCTAATTGATGGAAAATAAGTATCTTTCAAACTTCATAGTACCAGGTTTTTGCAATTGTGAAAGTTCACAGTATACATTTTCAATATTGACTTATAAACCAATGACATGGAATTGAAAAGCACAGAAACTATATAGAAGAGAAACATAAAATAGAATGATGTGAACCTCTGATGCATTTTGCATACCACATCTTTAAGCAATTAGCTGAGCTCATCCATTTTTTTCTGAATAAGGGGAACTGTTGTTGAATTAATACTTCAAAGTCTGTGTAACATATAGCATAACCTGTTTATGTATTCACTTGTAGCATCTCTACAATCTTATTCACCTGGATCTCTCCTACAATAAACTTTCAACGTTAGAAGGAATTCATACAAAAATTGGAAATATCAAAACGCTGAATTTAGCAGGGAATCATCTGGATAGACTTTCTGGACTCAACAAACTCTACTCTTTAGTTAACCTGGATCTTAGTAACAATAAAGTGGATCAGGTACTGGGAGAATTATATATTTGTTTACTCAGAACTCGTCATGCCATACTCGGTGTGTCTAGGATTCCAAGCGTCAATCTGCTAAGGGAATAATTACACTTCAGCTAATATTCTTAGTTAATTACGCTTTCAATTAATATTTTTAGAAGTCTGTTTGAAATGTACTTGTTAGAATCGTCTTCTATTGCATCATTTTTATCTAGTTTCTGCTCTTTTAGAATGCTACCTTTTTGGCTTCTTTTTTTAAAAAAGGAAATGTTTTAACTCTTATATATAGCAGAAATAATTTTTTTTCATTAAGCCTTTGCTTAAAATCTCAATAGAGCAATTGGTCTCCTTTTCAATCATTCTTCTAGTTTACCTAGATACTCACGGTAATAAATTTATATTTGGAGAGTTATTGGAGGAGGAATGGAGCAAGCGGTTTTTTTCTACCCTAGATATGGGTTTATTAACTTCAGAAGAGAGGGCTTAATGCATACCTCTTAAAGCCATCACATTAAAGAAAGAAATATATCAAATATGACAGAAAGAAATCAGAGTAAAAATGTAGATTTCAGTTGTAATATCAAAATATTTGACCATGTTTATGGATGCTTGAAATAGATGCCTCTATTTTTTCAGATTGATGAAATAAGGAATATAGGAGGCCTTCCATGCTTGGAAAAGCTTGTGTTATCCAACAATCCTTTGAGTATTATTCCTGATTATAGGACCAAAGTTCTAGCTCAGTTTGGTGACAGAGCCTCAGAGGTAAATCTTCAAAGACTGGTTCATCTTCTGACTTTTGACTTGAATATGATGTATGATGTATAAACATCATTGCCTAGGAGCAGCAGTGTAATTCATAAAATGAGAGGGTTTACAGTGTTTGAGAAATGTCTTAGGTTTGTGCAGTGCTTTTTTTGTAAAAAAAAAAAAAAGTGCCAAAACTCACATACGTCATACAACCCGCCTTGCCTACCCTACAAGATTCCATCCAAAAAAGGTACCAGAATTCCATTCTGGGCATTCTATGACAAAAAAAGCCCTGGGTTTGTGGCAGCACACATAATTTTTTCTGAATCTGTGTAATGAAGCTTGTACAAGGAAACTGATGCTTTGACAGTTTGAACTAGATTATGTAGTCATAGTTGAATTTAGACATCCACTTGGAAAGATTTATTTTTCCTTTTACAACAGTGCATATTTTCAGCCATCTAATAAATAATACAGCTGTTCATCTGTGTTAAACAATTAGAAATATTTAGTAATTGTATTTTATTTTAACTTATTATTCCAAATATTTAAAAAAAATCCAGACAATAAATCCCATTTACATATTTCTATTTTCAAAAACAAAAAAAAACACAGAAGCCTAATCAATATGTAAGATCTACTCAAGTTACTTTGTATCCAGTAAACTTGCTATGTTGTTGCACAGACTAAGAACTTAGATAAAGAGCTTTTGTAATTCCTAACGAGACCCAAAGTAGCATCTGCATAAAATGACAACTTGTGTTGAATTCTACAAAACCTTTATATTTTGAATGTCTCTATTTTATCTGATAAAACAAGCCAGAGGTTTCTAATCTAGTTAACTATAAGAGGACGTTTGACAAGTTCCCTGTTTCATTATAAATGAAAAATGAATTGTCAAAATCAATATTTTTCATGACTTGTACATACTTTGGGAGAGATGCCCATGCTAATTCTACTTAGATGATTTATACAAATTGATAATCTAATGATTAAATTTCTGTGCCGTGATTACATTCCTAGGTCTACTTTCTAAATTGTGACTCCCATTTGTATTTTAATGGAAGGCTAACTTGTAGACATTCAGTTGAATATCTCTGCATATTTCTTGTCGATGTTGGAATGAAGTGAGATTAAAAATATACCACTGTGAAAAACTTGTTTCCAATCTTAAACATTTTGGCAAGTACAGGTAGTCCTTGACTTACATCAGTTCATTTAGTGACCATTCAAAGTTACAGCAGTACTGTATGGACTTATGACCTTTTTTCACCCTTACGAACCTTGCAGCATCTCCATGGTCTCATGATCAAAATTAAAATGCATGGCAACTGGCATGTATTAATGATGGTTGCAATATCCAAGGGTCACGTGATCACCTTTTGTGACCTTTTGACAAGAAAAATTAATGGGGAAACCAGATTCACTTAGCAACCATGTTATTAACTTAATGTCATGGTTCCGATAGATAAAACCCATCAAAAGAACTTTGAGGCAAAATTCTTCCTTAAAGAACATTTATTCAGGAAACAAAGTATAGGCACTACATAGTTGAACCCAAAAACTAAATTCCCTTCCCCTTGATACAAAGTAACAAAGTACAATTCCCACCCTCAATAAACTGTCATAAAACACATTCCCCAATTAGCTTCAAGCGCGGGCTTTCTCCTCAGCCCTCCAAAACGTTATCGGCTCGTCCTTGGGTTCCCACGGCAGCATTATTATTATGGTTAACTGAGCTTACATCCCAACACACACACACACACATCCCCCGCTGCACCTGATTTCTAAAAGTAAGAAAAGCATGTTAAAGGAGAAGAGAAAATGGCTGCATTTTCATCAGTTGTCAGAGCAGGAACATCTAATGTTAGCAGCTTTGACATCTAACTGCAGCGATTCACTTAACAACTGTGGCAAGAAACGTAAAATGGGGCAAAATTCAGTTAACAAACGTCTAATTTAGCAATATAAATTTTAGGCTCAATTGTGGATGTAAGTCAAAGATTACCTTTATTTGGTTTTTACTGTTTTAGGAATCACAGTCTTAATTGGAAAATATAGCTAAATTTGTTTGGATCAGGGATACTGATGGCCTTACATTAATTTTAAGTATATTAAACAAAGTTACTTTAAATGTTAAGAATTGAAGAATCCGATCAACAAATGTAGATAATTTACAAAAGATTTGGAAATAAAGAACATCCAATTCTTATGATCTGATGTGTTAATAAAAATGTTTTACAATCTTAAGATGATACTAATATAGCAAAAATTCTGTTCTGGGTCTATTGTGTTCCATCAAAGTTGTTTAAAAAAACTGGTTATTTTTCTACATGGTAAATATATAGGTATGATTTGGTCATGATTTTCTGGTTGAATTGTATTAATATTAAGATTTTGATTATAGAGTAAGATTTAAAGCTATTGTTAAATTATATGCCTAAAATTTTGAAATTTATGTTATTTATGAAGGTCTCTTGATCTGTCATGCCTGGGTTGTGACAAAAATAATTTGGGTTATTTATTTCCTTTTCCTTTTTGTACTTTATGAATCTTGTATCTTTTTTTCTGTCAAAGCTTTCAACCTATTTTTTAAAAAGGAAGACCTCTTTAATTTCTATTGCATTTTTTCTGGTTGATCTAATTCAATTTGTCTCTTTAGTTGAGGATTAATTTAGTTTCTTGATATCCTTCAGGTTTGTTTGGATAATACCACAACCACTGAAAAAGAACTTGACACTGTTGAAGTGTTGAAAGCTATACAAAAAGCAAAAGATGTAAAATACAAAATGAGTAATTCCGATAAGAAGGTGAGACAGTATATGAATAGATGTATGATCACTTTAACTGTCATCTCCTCTAAAATATAACACTAAACCATATTTACAATTTTTGAGGTTAGCATCTTTCCCCAAAACTGAGATTTTATTAGCCTACCATACTCACAAGGAATAAATTAATTATCCTTTTATATGTCATTTGAACAAACCCTAAACTGTAATTAAGATTAGTCACAGTTTGTCCATGCTGGACTAGGTCACTAAACTACAATAGAAAAATGAAATAAAAACTTCTGAGTTCCTCCTGGGTACAGTAGAAGAGGCAGATGAGATATGAGACAACCAAGGTTTATTATTATATCAAACAGTAATTTAACTTTATGTAATAGTATTAATAAATGCTTGTTTGTTTATTAAATTTATGAGCCACCCATCTCATCAGTTTTTTAAAAAATTATAACATAATAGAGGTAGCGCTTGCTTAACGGCCACCGTTGGGAACAGCAAATCCATTGCTGAGCGATGCAGTCATTAAGCAAGACATCATGTGACAGCAACAGACTTACAATATTGTTTCCTATTTTGTTGCTAAATGATTCATTGTGTCTTTAAGTAAGGAATCACATGACTGACTTGCAATTTTACTGCCAGCTTTTCCATTGACTATTGGAGGCTGATTGTGAAACATGCCAATGATGATTACATGACAGTAGGATGCTGCAACAATCATAAACACCACCCACCTAAATCTTGATCACAAGACTGTGGGGATGCTGTCATGTTTGTAAGTGTGAGGACCGATCACAAAGTTAGCGCCGTTGTAATTTTGAATAGTTGCTAAACAGAACAATCGTTAAGTGAAAACTACCTGTATTAAATCATTCCAAAGCGCTCTATATCCATGGCAATAGCAATAGCACTTAGACTTATATACGTCCCCATATTGCTTTATAGCACGGCCCCCAACAATATCCTTACATTATTATTTGCTTGTATGTCAGTTCTTCTTGATAGGGTGACTTTGTAACTTTCCTTCATAGCCCTTCTGGTTTTTTTCCCCCTTTTCAGATCCCTGAAGATTCCAAGCTTTCTGCTACCAGTTCAAAATCAAACTGCTCTTCTCTTTCTGTTCATCCTTCCTCTCCTTCTCTGCCACGTCCTGTCAGCTCCAGTCAAGGTAATCATGTATGTATCATGCTGCTAGGCTGGGCCTCTTGGTTCTGCCCTTGTAGGCTGCATTGATATAAATGAATTTATCTATATAGAAATAGGATTTGGCAACCACAGTAGAAAAAACATTTCTGTGCCAATTTTTTAGCTTTCACTGCTAATAATATTGTGTGTGTGTGTGTGTGTGTGTGTAGGTCTTTGGTTATTCGGGTTTTCTCCCACGTAAAATTGGAAGTGTCTTGGCGACGTTTCAACGAAGTCTCATTCGTCATCTTCAGGCTGGTGCTTTCGGCTTCATGCTTCTAGAAGCACGAAGCCGAAAGCACCAGCCTGAAGATGACGAATGAGACTTCGTCGAAACGTCACCAAGACACTTCCAATTTTACGTGGGAGAAAACCCGAATAACCAAAGACCTACATACAAACACCCGCGAAAACCTCAGAAAACATACACACACACACACACACACACACACAGTAAGACAAATGAACAGTTATTTTACTATGGAAGTTTTAATTTGTTAATATAAACTGCTATTGCTAGCTACCTGGAATCTGAGCAGATTATAGTGATAAACAAGTCAAATAAATATGTTGCTGTATTCATTTTTATACATTTTTATCTATCTGTATAAAATCGGAGAGAAGCAGAGCCCTTGCTCTTCTCATTTTGATTTTTTGCTTCCTTTATTTTACTATTAAGCTATATAGCTACATTACAATTCTTCAGAGTGTATTGCCAGAGTTATAAATTTATAAATTTAAGACTGTGAAGTAGCTTGAAACAGTAGCTACAGAAAAGAGGTTAAATGAGCTGAAAGATCTGTTAAATAAACTAAAGTGGTGATATTTGCGTAGCTGTTTGCCAAACATTTAAAATGGGGTGACTGCATATGTGACATCCACAAATTAAATGTGGATTTCTGAATTAATAGTGCCACTAAGGATGGAACTTGGGTCAAAGCTGAGACTGAGTATGATAGTCTTCAATGATTAATTAGTAAATAAAAATAATGGAGGAAGCGGCAAAGAGGCCCAGTGTCGACTACTGAGCTAACATGGAGCAAATCAAGGCCCAGTGAGATTAATATTGCTTGCTGAAGCATTCTTTGTTTTTCTTCTTATTTGAAAAAAAAATATAATTAGAGAATATCTGTAGGGCAGTATTCTTAGTAACATATATAGCTATCTCTAAAGCATTCTCTGCTCCCCACTCCACCCCACAAAATACTTTAGCTAACTGAAACATTATTATCTATTACTCTATCTGTACAACGAGTATTACTACTACTTCTTCTTCTTGTGCCATATCCTTTATCGGACGTTGGCGATCATGTTGGTGATCCTGTTTTTATCAGCAGCCGCACGAAAAAGTGCTGCTGATTTTTGTCCAAACCAGTCCCTTAGATTTTGAAGCCACAGTGTTCTTCTTCTGCCTGGACCTCGTTTGCCTTCAATCTTTCCCTGGAGGATTAAATGGAGTATGCCGTATTTTTCTGGGTGTAGCATCACATGTCTGAAATATTCTAATTTTCGTTTTTTAATTATTTTAATGATTTCCCTTGGCTTTCCCAGGTGGCTTATCACCTCCTCATTTCTGATCTTGTCACCCCAGTTTATACGTAACAGCTGCCTGTAAGGCCACATTTCAAATGCTTCTAGTCTCTTCAGGTGGCCTTCTGTTATTACTAGCAGATAAAATATTTGCAAATTGGAATTATCCAGGATCTTTTGGGGGAAAGTATATGAGGTTGCATTTCATCTGCCAAATCCCAAGCTTTTTTCAATAATAATTTGTTTCAGTGGGGTAGCATTGTTATAATAGTACTCTACTAATCCGAAAATATAAGGCTGACTGCTGTTCCTTGCTATTTCATAGTTTCAGTTTTTGCTTTCTGTAAGCTACCAATAAGATGTCATTTCTCCCAAAACTCAGATGCTTTTCCAAATGTCAGAATGACCAAAATTTAGTAGTATGTTAATGAACGCATGGATATACATTTCTAAGACTATATATTCTTGGAGACTATGAACTATGGTACTATGAACCCATGCATTGCATGAGGGTGAAGGCTTGTTCTCCGAGCTTGTGGATTGGTTTCCAAACTTTTTGTTACCAGGCTGGATAACATCTTCAGCAGAGTTTAGGGAATGTCTGTGTTAGGTTAATAACCTAAATGCCGCCGAAGATGTTACTTACCCTAGTAACGAAACGTTCGGAAACCAACCCACAAGCTCAGAGAACGAACCTTCACCCTCATCCTACACCCAAGCTACAGATATTCGCCACTATTGCAAACCATGTCTGGGTTCCTGATTTCCGACTTCTCTAATCTGGATTAGAAGCTTTGAAAACTGCTGATTTGTTGGGATAAATTATTTTAAAAAGCACTGAGATAGGGGTCATTCAATTCTGTTTTATTTCATAAATGACGACAAGAATGTTTTTAACGACACCATCTGTTTCCCCAAATATTAATCATATCAGTTGTCACTGACTTATTTTTTTAAAAAAATAATGATCCTAGATTTAAATATTTTTACAGGAAACAGAAAATAGTACAAATAATAAGTTAACTTCCTGTTATCTTCAGTTTTTGCAAGAATAGATTCTTCTTCTTTTTAGATTATTATCTAAAAAGATTATAATTCTTTTTAATCAATACCTCTGTGGAATAGATTATAGCAGGGGTCCCCAACCCCTGGTCCATGGACCGGTACTGGGCCGCAGCATGCCCACAGCCGGTCCGCACAAACAAGCAAAGCCCCATTCACGGGGTGCAGGCAGCACACAAAACCATGCACCTTCTGGTCCACAAAAAAACCTTTCTCCATAGGGATGCCCAAAAGGTTGAGGAACTCTGGAGTATAGTATATAAATAATACAGTATGTAATACAATAATAATACAATACATTTTCAACTTCTTAAAATTTGATTGTGTATTTTTGTTTTGTATTAATAAAGAGACAGATATACAAACATACAAACTTCCTATTAATAATTGAAATGCTAACATATTCATACATAAATTCTTACATATATATCTTTTTAGAGTGAGAGATAACAGATTATATTTGTATTAATATATTTATATTTTTGCGCTGCAGTCCTAAACGTATTAAGAATATACTCTCCTAAACAAAGATACTATATTCCTAATTAACAGCCACAGAATTATGCTGCTGCTATTGGAAGATCTCAGTTCATGGGTAGCAAGAATATTGTAAAGGAATACAATAAAAATATAAATGCTGTATTCTTATTATGCTGCATTTTTACAGAGCCTGGGAGGATCTCTTTTGTGCTAGTAGATACATTAATATATTTATATGTATGTTTTATATTCTATTATGTTGTGAGCCACCCAGAGTTATTGTATATAAGATGGGTAGCCATATAGGTCTTTTAAATAAATACATATTCTGCATAGAAGCTGAACCTTCTCTGGATAAAGCCTAAAATAGTGGGGATGTCAACTCTACAACAAACCTGGCTGCAGCCATTTTCTTCGTTCTAAGTTGCCACAAGATTGGGAGGGGGATGGAGGATTTCTACTAGTCTAAACATTTTACTGTCCCTTGGGAACCAAGGTCATTTCTGTCAATCAGATAGGTGCTGGACCATTTAGTTAGAAAGCGCACCAAACTTTTCTATTAGGGAACGTAGCTAGTTGCATAGCACTGGGGTGGGAAGTTTAACTTTGTGATATTGTTGCTCTCTGAAGGAAAGTTCAGACTTGGTTTCAAGCCTCGGAGTTCTGATTTGTTTGGTCTTGTCTATCGGAACCTTGACATTGGACCTGTGATCCACAGGATCTTAAGTCTCTTGTTTCTTACATAATTTCCCTAGGAAAAAAAATGCAAAAAACCCCTATCCCAATCTCAAAGCTGGTAAAATGAATTATTTCTCATTAAAGGCAATAAGCATGTTTTAAAAAGGTGAGATACTGCCCCGTCATCTTGGCCAATAGCTAAGATTTAAAAAGTTACACTTTCTCTAGCACAGTCTTCCCCCCTTTCTCATCACTTATGCAAGCTCTTGTAGGAGTATTTTGACAGTATCTTATGCATGCTGTGAAGTGTACGCACTTCTGCCATGAACGATTTTCACGATAATGGGAATGGGAGGTCAGCAAATTAGATGCCTCCCTCATTTGACAGTGCGTTAGAGGACATTCTTCAAATGACTGAGTATGGAATAATACATGCTTCCGCACTTCACATATTCCAAACTATATGACAGACTTTCAAATATAAGTTGTTTAAATTGTTTCAGAGGAGGGTATAAATTTATATTTACATATTTGTTGTACAAATAAATAAAGTAGTTTGGGTGGAGAAAATAGATTGTTTACAGGGTAAATTAAGTTGGGATGTTAACTCTGCTGCAAAGTGCATATTATCTGTTTGACAGCATTTTCCACAGCCTTTACCGTTGGAGCAACTTAAAATATAGGATGAATCAAAAAGTACATTTATAAATAATATGTGCTATTGTTAATAAGTAAACATGCTTCTGTGAAATAGAACATGGTTTGGTATATTTTCTGTGTATGGATGTATGTATTTGTTTAACATTAACACTGCTTCTGTTTTGTAGAAATAACATACAAGAAAACAGCCCTAGTCAGCAGTTTCTCATCAAGTAGTTTGACTCCTGAAAACCATACAGTTACCCAAAGATGCCCTGAAACACCAGATTCGTGTAGTGCAAGTCAGGTAATGGCATGTTCAGTTGAAAGTTACTTTATACCTTTTAAGATGGGTTTAAGTTTCTTGAACTGGTTTTCCTTAGTCTTGCCAAACAAAAGATCAGTGAAAGGATTCTGTCAAATAACTTCTAGGTAGAGGAGATAATTTTCTTTATAGAGCATAGACTTTCTATATATTGAATTTGTGATCATTTTGTATCATGGTTAAAAATACAGATAGTCTTCATTTAGACCACAGTTGGGACTGGCAACTCAGTTGTGAAACAAAACAGTTGCTATGTAAAACAGCAACTGTGCTTATAATAATTATTTATAAAATTTCTATGCTGCCTGACGCTCAACAATTCTGGGTGACTTATAATTATTAAAGCATTTAAAATAGTAGGAAAATACATACACGCAGCTCAAGACAGAAGAATAATGACAGCAAAGATAATAAACTTGGAAGGGAACAGAAAGATCAGTTATTTTCTCCAAAGGTCTAAGAGAAGAGCTACCCTTCAAAAGAGCTGCCTGTATTGAAAATATGACATGGGGATCCTGTACTTCATGCATCTCCTTAAAATGCTGAACCAAAGAGCCAAACCCATGTGTAAATACCTCCTAAACACCCAAAATAATTCATTGTAGCAAATACTGACTTAGATTGAGTAATGCTTATTAATCATTTTAGCTAAAAAGTTAAAAGGATGATAAAAGAACTATATGTGACACCATTAACCATCATCAAGAAATTCCATATAATTATTTTGTGAATAGGACCACACAGTGAGGGAAAAATTATTTGATCCTCTGCTGATTTTGTTTACCCTCTGACAAATAATTGATCTATCTATAATTTTAATGGTAGGTGTATTTTAACAGTGAGAGACAGAATAATAACAAAAATATCCAGAAAAACGCATTTTAAAAAAGTTATAAATTGATTTGCATTTTAATGAGTGAAATAAGTATTTGATCCCCTATCAACCAGCAACATTTCTGGTGTCTTTTATACAGGTAACGAGCTGAGTTTAAGACCACTCTCTTAAATGGAGTGCTCCTAATCTCAGCTTGTTAACTATATAAAAGACACCTGTCCACAGAAGCAATCAATCAGTCAGATTCCAAATTCTCCACCATGGCCAAGACCAAAGAGCTGTCCAAGGATGTCAGGGACAAGATTGTAGACCTAGACAAGACTGGAATGGGCTAGAAGACTATTGCCAAGCAGCTTGGTGAGAAGGTGACAACAATTGGTGCAGTTATTCGCAAATGGAACAAACAGAAAATAACTTCAATCTCCCTCAGTCTGGGGCTCCATGCAAGATCTCACCTTGTGGAGTTTCAGTGATCATGAGAACGGTGAGGAATCAGCCCAGAACTACACGGGAGGATCTTGTCAATGATCTCAAGGCAGCAACAAAAGAGTGGCTCAAGAAGAAGCACATTAAGGTCCTGGAATGGCCTAGCCAGTCTCCAGACCTTAATCCCATAAAAAATCTGTGGAGAGAGCTGAACATTTGAGTTGCCAAACAGCCTCGTAACCTTAATGACTTGGAGAGGATCTGCAAAGAGGAGTGGGACAAAATCCCTCCTGAGATGTGTGCAAACCTGGTGGTCAAGTACAAGAAACGTCTGACCTCTGTGATTGCCACCAAGAGTTTTGCTAAGATGTGTTTTACGAAGGGGTCAAATACTTATTTCACTCATTCAAATTTATAACTTTTTTGAAATGCATTTTTCTGGATTTTTTTTGTTGTTATACTGTCTCTCACTATTAACATAAACCTATCATGATCGTTTCTTTGTCACTGAGCAAACATACAAAATCAGCAGGGGATCAAATAATTTTTCCCTCACTGTATATATTAGTCAATGAGTTTATTGAGTTTATTCAAAAATGCATTGTATCATATTTAGCCTTTTGTCTCCCCCCCCCTTTTTTTTTTCTTTGAAGGTACCTGCTCCAGATTTGGACCTTTCTGATGAAAGCACACATCGCATGTGGTGAGACTGCAGTTTCAGTTTGATATTCTCTTCTACCTGATGAACTCTGACATAGTATAAAAATGCCTTTTGCTGCCTGATTCTTTGAAGAATAAAAAACAAAAGCAAAAACTTCATGGAATATCTGCCTGAGGCGTAGCTTTTGCATTACTATAGAAACCTGGGCAAATAGAGAGCCATAAGGCTTCTGAGTTAATGAACATTATGCTTGCAGTTGCATTAGATCTATGCCGTATGGTTCAGTTGTTGAGAAAGTTTTTGAAACTTAAGTCAATATTTTGAACTAGGTTACTATAGTTTGCTCTTTTCTGTCTGTCTGTCTTTCTTTCTTTTTAAAGCTTGGGATATCCAGAAGAAGGACCCGATTCCTTGCCTGATCCTCTTAATACTGTTACTCTGCCTTTCACTTGTATGTCATACGCTACCACAAATCAGGACTTTGTGCAACATCTCTCTACCTTGATTGCAGAGGCCGTGGGACATGTGCCCCTCTTTTCAGTGGAAACTGAGAACATGGGAGATCTTTTGAGTGATACAGAAACTGAAGATGGCTACTTTGAAATGGGACTTCATGAAGGATATCAGATCTCTAAAGTGGCTCCCACCTCAAGTGGTGTGCAGATGACCCAAGCAAAACAGGATACTATAATCAAAATCCTCTGGAGTTTTTGCATTCAGGTTCATAAAGGACTCAGGCAGTTTGCTTCCTGTTTTGTTTTGGCTAGAAATGTGATAGCTGTATTTGAAATTGTTCAAGATTCCAAAGGAAATTGCCAGCATATACTTTCTGCTTTGAAAGTTGTACTTTGCTTTCCATACTCTGACCTCAGTGAGTTTGGTTTTTTAATACCAGAAATATGTTTGATGCTCAACGTAAACAATGGCGATACCTGTTTGTTTGTTGTGTCAGACACTCAGAATCTGCAAGATTTCTATTCTTGTTTACACCAGTTTCGCGGTCAGCACTACAAGCCTGCTTTAGCTGATTCTGTACTGTATTGTGGCAAAGCTAATTTGCAAGAGTTTGTCTACCAGCTGATGGGTTTTTATCATATTTCATCCGAAAACACAGAGATAAAAGGTTGTTTCCCAGTTTATCTCTTCTGTCATAATAAGGCTGATGGTCAAAAGGAACTATGTTTGCCAAAACTGGGTAATGATGACCAAGCCTGTTCTAAGCATTGTGGTTGTTCTGCATTTTACTCTGCGATTCATAAATCAGCTGGAGAGAGCCATTGTATGCTGCACCCTTGTTGGATATTTCTCACACCTCACCACCTTCATATAGTTAAAGTTGATTTTAATATACTGCCAGGTAAATTCATGGACTCAGAGAACGCCAGGAACATTTTCAAACTGAACAGAATTCCACTGGCTTCTGTTCTTTTGCATCCCACATGTTTTTCAGTTCAGCAAGAAGGTTCATTTTCAGATGGATATGTCATGGAATTGATAATTGGCTACAGATTTGTCACAGCAATATTTGTCCTACCTCACGAGAAATTCCATTTTCTGAAAATCTATAGTTTTTTGAGGACACTTTTGCAAGACGTCAAGACCATAATTATTTTCAAAGATGCCAATAATGTAGAATCGGTCAGAAACTCTTTTACAGACTGTTTAAGGCATGGCCCAACTACAAGGTAGGTATATGCATTTTTAAATTAACTATTCAAAACCTGAGAATCAATCAAATGTACTGGTTAAAGGTACTGGACTGGAAACCACAAAACTCTGAATTTTAGTCCTGCCTTATGTTCAAAGCCAACTGAGTGGCTTTGGGCCATTCATTCTATTTCAGCCCTCGGAATAGGGCAATGGCTTAACAAGAAAATTGCAGGAACTTGTCCAGGCTGTTGCCAGGAGTCAAGCCTGACTTGAAGGTATAAGTATATTCAAAACAGGAATAATGAGAGTTTTCAGTTATTTGAGTCAAAACAGTAGGTAGGATATATATTTTGAACAATGATTCGTGACTTGTATTAAGTTGTCAAATATTTAAAAAATAGTTTTGGTAAGGGGTTCTAATATCTATAAAGTTTATAAAAACTGCTCTATGCAAAATAAACTGATATTTTGAAAGCCATGCTATTCTGTGAAAGAGTAATAAGATGGAATGCTTATAATGCATCAATACTTGGATTTTATTTTTGTTTCTCTCTGCTAATACGCATTAATCTGTTTTTCCAGCTTTTGCAAGCCTCGTTTGTCATTCTCATCTTTGTACCCATCTGAATTTCTGATGCAAAGAATTACCGATGAGAACCAGATACCTATGCACCTTTCAGTCTCTCCATCTCTTCAATATGTAGCTGGGCTAAAAGAGAAACACATTATGGAATTTTTCCATAACAGCATTGCTGAGGTATTAGTACACAAAAATAAGAGATTCCAGAAGAGAAGCTGTGCTAGTCTGTTTTAATGACATTTGAAGATCAGCAAAATGCCCACGGGCATCCTGAAGAATCACACATTTACTGAGGCATTAATGTTTGTAGGAGAATGGGTTCAAGATATTTTTTTTTCTTCTTTTCAGCCTGTTGTAGCGTTTGTTGGGATGGTGCAGATGGGAATACAGTGTTCATATTGCTATTATTGCCACTTTATAAGTGCAGTGAAATAGATTTCTTTAATTGACCTATAATAATAAGGGCAGGCTAAGCTGCAACCCCTGAAAATTAGTGTTTGATAAGTGTGTGTGTGTGTGTGTGTGTAGGTCTTTGGTTGTTCGGGTTTTCTCCCACGTAAAATTGGAAGTGTCTTGGCGACGTTTCGACGAAGTCCCATTCGTCATCTTCAGGCTGGTGCTTTCAGCTTTGTGCTTTGAGCAGCTCAACCTGAGTACAACCAAACAGAACACTCCCCCAGCCAATCAGAGCACAGCCAAGCCCCTAACCATTCAGAACACACCTCCACACAATCAGAACACAACCAAGCTCCCACCCAATCAGTTCATACCTCCACTGGCAGTTAAAAGGAATAAACAGCTAAGACCACACATTGCTGCTCAAAGCACGAAGCTGAAAGCACCAGCCTGAAGATGACGAATGGGACTTCGTCGAAACGTCGCCAAGACACTTCCAATTTTACGTGAGAGAAAACCCGAACAACCAAAGACCTACATACAAATATCCGCGAAAACCTCAGAAAACATATATATATATATATATATATATATATATATATATATATATATATATATATATATATATATATATATATATATATATGTAGGTCTTTGGTTGTTCGGGTTTTTTCCCACGTAAAATTGGAAGTGTCTTGGCGACGTTTCGACGAAGTCCCATTCGTCATCTTCAGGCTGGTGCTTTCAGCTTCGTGCCTCGAGCAGCAGCCTCATTGCTGCTCGAGGCACGAAGCTGAAAGCACCAGCCTGAAGATGACGAATGGGACTTCGTCGAAACGTCGCCAAGACACTTCCAATTTTACGTGGGAGAAAACCCGAACAACCAAAGACCTACATACAAATACCCGCGAAAACCTCAGAAAACATATATATATATATATATATATATATATATATATATATATATATATATATATATATATATATATAATCTGCATTTTTTTTGAAAAGATAAAGCACTCTGTACTTAAATGCATAAAATAATGGGGACGCAATTGGGTCATTGATGCAATACCAGAAATATCAAGATGCTTCCCTGAATTGAAAGAGTTGACACACAAATGATGACAATGCTGAAGAATTACTATAAGCATTTAACAAAACTCAGATGTTAAATAGATAACTCTAAGCAAGATAAAGGGGAAGGAAGACGTATCTATTTTCATAGTGGAATTTACACTTGCAAGCACCCTGATATGCAAAATAATGATAAAATGTGACTCTTTGTCAGGTCAAAGAAAATACATCCAAAATTATACTTCACTAAAAGATTAATTGCATTGTCAATATTATAGGTCGAAAATGAAGAACTAAGACATCTCATGTGGTCATCTGTTCTGTTTTATAAAGCTCCAGATATGGAAGTGACAACTTGTGTACTACTTTCAACTAAAGCTATTTACTTCTTGTTGGATGATTCTGTGATGCATTCTAACGATCACCATTTAGGTATAGTAGAACAGGCCGGTTCCTGGCTTTCAAAATGCTGCAGATTTTTAATCACACTAAGGCCTATGCAAAGGTGCCATAATTTTAAACTCTTGCTTTGTACTGTACCTATGGTATTCCATTATTTTTAAAGCAACAGTTTGAGCAAGCCTCATAGTTGGTGGCATGTTTGGGAGTGACAGTTTTCCCTTATAGCTTTAACAGAGTTATGAGGAGTTGTTTTCAAGGAAAACGTCTCAAACAGGAACAGGGTTTTTAATTCTGATTATCCATTAAATCTTCTTTTAAAACTTTCCACAATATTTTTACTTGGTAACCCAGAAAGAATAGAAATAGGGGTTGGTATAAGTGCTGTTATAAGGCAGAATTATATGGGTAAGGAGCAGACTTATATTATTGGTCTCAGTGTATCCACCTGGTTCTGGTTTATGTTATTTACATGATTCAGATTCAGAAACGTGTTTGCTAGACTAATACATAGCTGCACCTTTAATAATGGCTTATTTCAGATAAAGATGTCAGGTGCAATTATGGACATTAATTCTCCTAATACCTGAAACTAATTATTTTTAAGGCAATTTGGTATTGACTACTATACATTTATCACCCACTAGGTTTTTGGGGCACTGACTTTGAATTCAGCTCTTTCCATCTCACTCCTTGCTTAGTTCTAAAATTAAATGATCTGCATTCAGTGAACATTGGACTTTTTGATCAGTATTTTCGACTTACTGGTAAGTTACATTGAGATTTCTTTCCTTCTTCATTCCTGCATTTTGTTATCAGCAAACTGTAGATTAAAGGTGAATCTATTCTTTATTCCTAGTGCAAAGCACAATTTATAATGGTACTTTATGAGCATTTGAAATATGTCATTAGCAAAATTCCTTTCTATGGGTTGTATAAGGGATGTTTCATCTGATGTCCTTCTCCCTAGTGCTAGTGTTTGGGGGACATGAGATTCCCACACCACATGTTACTTTCTGGAAGCTTAAAAGGAAAAAAAATGACGGGGGAAAATGAAATGAATTCTATAGCATCACTTCTTGAATGTATAGCATAGAAATTGAAATACGTGACAGCAGAATCGGTTCTTTCTTTTATGAAATAAACCAATCTCAGAAGAGGTAAATAAATCCAGTTTTGGCTATGATTATGGCTGTGGCTTGCCTGTACCTATGGCACTTATTCATTAAATAGTAGATTTTTAAAAAGCAATAAGCAAATATTCACTGGAAAAAAAAGATTAAAAGATAGAGTTGTTAAAATGTCAATGATTTTAAAGGGACTTCCAATAGACAAACATAACGTTCAGTCAGACTATAAAATTATGCTAGTCTGCTGCTATTTAGAGACAGTTCTATTATGAAGAATTTGCAGGTTTGAAAAAAAAAACAATTACTGGTCTTGTATACAAACAATAATATCAGTCACAAATTGTTAAATTAATATGAATTAAATTATTAAACATAATCTTATGCTTGAGGCTGAAATCCTCGGCTTTTCCAGCTTCTTATGGATAACGACCTTTTATCAGAGGCTCAGGAACAGTTTCCTAACTCTTGTACCCAACTTCTTACTTCTCTCCTTCCTCCCAAAGGAACTCCCTCTAGTTTCCAAAAGCCCTTCCTCTTCAATTTGGTGAATTGAATTTGGTGAAATTTTCCTCTTGCTGCATATTAATCATCTCTCTGTATTAAGGGGTAGATTTGGTGAGCCTCAGATGATGCACATTGGAAGTGACTGAACTCTGTCACAATAGTATGTAACAAATGCACATAAACTAGACAAGCTAGACCAGTGATTCTCAACCTTTCTAATGCCGTGACCCCATAATACAGTTCCCCATGTTGCGGTGACCCCCAAGTGGGTGTGGCCACCAATAAGAGGGAGTAGGACAGCTAGGGAAAAGGGAAAAAAATGGCGGACAGCATGGTTTGGTGACCCCCGTGAAATGGTCATTCGACCCCAAATGGGGTCCCGACCCACAGGTTGAGAACCACTGAGCTAGACCAAGATCAAACTGAATCCAAAAACGCTTGGGAATTCTTGGAAGCTTGGCACTTGGACACATCAGCCATCGACATTGCAAGTTAATAAAAAACTTTAACACACCTTTCAAAAGAAACAGTAAACGCTAAAAAGGAAAGAAAAAGACCAGAATACCTCATTGCTAGCCATCAACACCCAGATAAATAGGGATTAACACCAGACAAACAATCAAGTAATAAACAATGCCCTGATCAAGGAATACCAGCTCAGACAGATAATCAAGCAGTAGAGAACAATCAGTAGTGAACAACAGCCTAATCAAGGAATTACCAAGGAGAAAATAACATCCTATCAATACTGACAGGGCAAGTTGCAGTGCCACTCTTTTCTAGCATAAAGATGTTACCTATTCTGGTAATGAAACATCTGCAAACAATGAAGCTCAGAGAGCACCAAGGACTCCACGGTTCAACCCTGAACTATGTATATTCTCTTCTACTGATAAATTATACAGACTGTTTTGTAGAAGAGCATGTGCCAAATTGAATGAAGAAAGTGATAATATTTGGAAATTGTTATAATTTTTTCACTTAATGTTTTTATTAAATTTATATAAAAGTTCCATAGTATGCATGTGTTTCAAAACTATCCTAATTTTGTAATCGTATTAGAAAGAATCTTAGTTTTGGGTCCTTTTCAGGACATTCGGCGGAACATATATTAACCTGCCTAACCAGAGACAGTTATAGCACTCACGCTTTTATCCAGCACCTCATGGCAGTGCTCTCACTCCTTGCAAGGACACCATCGCCAGAACCAGTGGATAAGGATTTCTACTCTGAATTTGGAAAGAAAAATACAGGTAAAGGGATTTAGAAGTATTTTAGTAGGCTAAATTAATATATTTCATCACACCTCTCTAGGATAATGTTCATTTGATTTGCTAAGATTTTACCTTTTGATAGCAAATCATCATGTTTAAGGCATGTTTTTGACCAATAATGGTACAGCAATAGGTAGAATGGCATTTTACATTTGAAGTGATACCTATTTTTTCTTCCTAACATTTTCCTGCAAGTATGCTTTTTTAAAATCTTAATAGGAATTGACCAACCAGTTTGTTACCTGAGCTGACCTTGTGGGTTAAGATGGAATGACTGGCCCAAAGTCACTCAGTAAGCTTTCATGCTTAAGGCAGAACTAGAATTCAAATTCTCCTGGTTTCTAATCTGTTGCCTTAACTAGACCAAAGTGGCTCTCATTTGCAGTGATACATATATTAGTATCTTTTGCTAAAACTAAAGTAGGCAAATCCAGTTGAAGTAAATATATTTCATCTTGAATGTGCAGCATAGAGGAATGGAATGGAATGGAATGGAATGGAATGGAATGGAATGGAATGGAATGGAATAGAATAGAATAGAATAGAATAGAATAGAATAGAATAGAATAGAATAGAATAGAATAGAATAGAATAGAATAAGAAGGAAGGAAGGAAGGAAGGAAGGAAGGAAGGAAGGAAGGAAGGAAATTAAGGACATATTAATTGTTCACTTTGTTATGCTACTGCATTGGTAGGTACTTGGTGCCTGCTAACACAGGAAAAAGAGTTAATGTAAATTGGAGTCTCTTCTGTTCCCTGGAGAAGACATTTCTTATTCTATATACTTCCTCATGCTTGTCTATTGCTTTTTTCCAGGTACTGAGTCTGATGGCGAAAAAAAAAAAATACTGAATACTCCTCAATAAAAATGAAAGGGCACAGAGTTGACATAAACTGGTTAGCAAAGTCAGGAAATCCTTGGCACACCCACATACCAACAATGTGACAAAGAGTTTTCCACTTTTATGTAATTCATTTTCAATTTGTTCTTATTCATTGTTATCAACAGCAAACTCAGCTACATATTCTCATTGGATATACATCTGCCCACATTTTTTCATAAATAACCTATAATCAAAAATCAGCTGTGATTTACATGCATTGTGGAGTCAGTGAACACTCTGCTCTCAGAGTGGATGTGCATACGTTCCTTGGACACTTTTGTTTTGCATGGCTTTAAATTACTAATAATTGAAAACAGTCAGAATGTTATGTTACACCATTAGGGGGTATTCCATGTGATGTGCACACCATGCATTTGGTGATTGAGGCACACCTAAGATTTAAATTGGCTTTAAGCAACATTCTAATTAGCTTTTTTATAGAAAAAATCAGAAGAAAATGTCCTGAATTGCTTGGGTGTGGTCTAAAGAGTTAGAATAGGGAAGGAGAATAGAATCATTTAGTTACTGGATGCAGATGCTCCTCTACTTCTTTCCCCATGTTTTGAAAGGATACTTCCTTCACATAAGGAAGATCATAACATCTGGCCTAGCTGTTTAACACAATGTTGTTGTGTTTTGTCATTTCTTCAGTATTTGTGCAATTCCTTTTAGCCCTAAACTGCATCTGAACGACTCTATTCCCATAACTTCTGCATTATATAATTCTTCAGAAAGGTAGACTAGCCCTAAGAAAAAGGTAAAATTGAACTAGAAAGTATACCAAAGGCATGTTTTAGTATGGCCAACTAAAACAGTGATAGTAATCAGAAAATAGGGCAGTTTCACAGCATTAAAGCTCAGCATGAGCTATTGCTATGTCCGAAATAATATTTTGCTTCATATGTCTACTCAGCTACAAAGCTCACTGCATAGCCTTGCATCAGTTGCTATCTCTCAGCCATAATGTATCTTACAGTTGTTGTTTTGTTAAAAACACCTGCAAATCACTTCAAACAAAACCACATTAAACAATCAGAGAAGTCTCCCCATAAAATTTCAATAAAACTCACTCAGGAAGCTTAACTTTCTTTCATGTAAGTATTTCATGACTGGATTTTGAAAATGTAGCTGAGGTTTTGTTTATTAGATTTATATCTTCTTGTTCAACAGCACACACAGCACTCTCTGCTTGCCTTTTTCTGCATAACGATGATCCTATGAAGTAGATTGGCTCAAAGAGAATGAGCAGCTTAAAGTCACATCACTGAACTTCAATGAACTTGATGGTGCCTGTCGCAGCCCCTACACCACATTTAACTGTCCAAGAGTGTTAAAAGTCTGAACAAATAGTATAATTGCCTCTCTCCAAAAACAGAAAGATACAGTCAGGTCCAGAAATATTGGGACATAGACACAATTTGAACATCTTTGGCTCTATACCACAATGGAGTTGGAATGAAACAAACACAATGTGCTTTAACTGCAGACTGTCAGCTTTAATTTGAGGGTATGTACATCCAACTCAGGTGAACGGGGTAGGACTTACAGCAGTTTGAATATGTGCCTCCCACTTGTTAAGGGACCAAAGGTAATGGGACAATTGGCTTCTCAGCTGTTCCATGGCCAGGTGTGTGATATTCCCTCATTACCCCAATTACAATGTGCAGATAAAAGGCCCAGAGTTCATTTCAAGTGTGCTATTTGCATTTAGAATCTGTTGCTGTCAACTCTCAAGATGAGATCCAAAGAGCTGTCACTATCAGTGAAGCAAGCCATCATTAGGCTGAAGAAACAAAACAAACCCATCAGAGAGATAGCAAGAACATTAGGCATGGCCAAAACAACTGTTTGGAACATTCTCAAAAAGAAGGAACGCACCGGTGAGCTCAGCAACACCAAAAGACCCAGGAGGCCACGGAAAACAACTGTGGTGGATGACCGAAGAATTCTTTCCCTGGTGAAGAAAACACCCTTCACAACAGTTGGCCAGATCAAGAACACTCTCCAGGAGGTAGATGTATGTGTGTCAAAATCAACAATCAAGAGAAGACTTCACCAGAGTGAATACAGAGAGTTCACCACAAGATGTAAACCATTGGTGAGCCTCAAAAACAGGAAGGCCAGATTAGAGTTTGCCAAACAACATCTAACAAAGCCTTCACAGTTCTGGAACAAGATCCTATGGACAGATGAGACCAAGATCAACTTGTACCAGAGTGATGGGAAGAGAAGAGTATGGAGAAGGAAAGGAACTGCTCATGATCCTAAGCATACCACCTCATCAGTGAAGCATGGTCGTGGTAGTGTCATGGCGTGGGCCTGTATGGCTGCCAATGGAACTGGTTCTCTTGTATTTATTGATGATGTGACTGCTGACAAAAGCAGCAGGATGAATTCTGAAGTGTTTCGGGCAATATTATCTGCTCACATTCAGCCAAATGCTGCAGAACTCATTGGACGGCGCTTCACAGTGCAGATGGACAATGACCCAAAGCATACTGCAAAAGCAACCAAAGAGTTTGTGAGGGACAGAAGTGGAATGTTATGCAATGGCCAAGTCAATCACCTGACCTGAATCCCATTGAGCATGCATTTCACTTGCTGAAGACAAAACTGAAGGGAAAATGCCCCAAGAACAAGCAGGAACTGAAGAAGTTGCAGTAGAGGCCTGGCAGAGCATCACCAGGGATGGAACCCAGCATCTGGTGATGTCTGTGTGTTCCAGACTTCAGGCTGTGATTGACTGCAAAGGATTTGCAACCAAGTATTAAGAAGGCAAAGTTTGATTTATGATTATTATTCTGTCCCATTACCTTTGGTCCCTTAACAAGTGGGAGGCACATATGCAAATTGCTGTAAGTCCTAACCCGTTCACCTGAGTTGGATGTACATACCCTCAAATTAAAGCTGACATTCTGCAGTTAAAGCACATTGTGTTTGTTTCATTCCAACTCAATTGTGGTGGTGTATAGAGCCAAAGATGTTCAAATTGTGTCTATGTCCCAATATTTCTGGACCTGACTGTATGATCAGTCTTATCATGATCACATGTGGCCACAGAAAAACCATGCCATGTATTCCTACTAACCTAACCTATCTTGTCAGTGCATATATCTCTGCTTGTCTGGCTATCTGGGATCTTCATAAAAATAAATAGGAAGAACATACCATCATAAGCAATTTGAAGAAATTTTAATTAAAAGTAAGCAAAAATGTGTTTTTATTGGATTGCTCAGGTTGCTTCACATTAATTATTTCAGTAAATATCAAAATGATACACACCAGTTATTGATGTCTTATGGTATATGGAAGTCTGAATTTAAAAGGAAATAGTTTACCTCATGAGTACATGTAGCATAGGTGAATTTTCTGATTCATAACTCAGTTTCTTTGGGTTTGGTATGTGTCTTTTTCTCTGTTCTTTATAGTGTGTTTTTAATTATTTCAAGTTTTAATTTGAGAAGATTTTTTTTCTAGAAAAATGTGTTCTGAATTAGTTCTAAATCTAATTATTCAAAATATATATTTCTTTATTGTTTCAGGAAAAATGGAAAACTATGAACTGATTCACTCTAGCAGAGTGAGATTCATATATCCCAATGAAGAAGAAATTGGGGACCTTGCTTTTCTGGTTGCTGAGAAGATGAACAGTGTCATGAAATCTCCATCCCTGAATCTTCTCCTTTATGTGTTGGCGTTTCAGGTCAATACGACGGAGGGGACTGCTCAGGCCTTCAGTTCCCTCCAGCCTAAAACGCTGATCCTAACTAGCTCAGATTTGTTTCTTTTCAACGAGGACTACATCAGCTACCCACGGCCTGAGTTTGCAAAGGAACCACCAAAGAGAGACAAATATCAGCTTGCAGATGGAAGAAGAATCCGTGACCTAGATCGTGTGCTCATGGGCTATCAGGCCTATCCTCAGGCACTCACCTTTGTTTTTGATGACATTCAGAATCATGATCTCATGCAGAACCTGACCTTAGATCACTTTGGCAATGTCTTCAGTTTCCCTAAAGGACAGGCTGCACAAGAGGGTAATGTCAGCCAAGAGGTGCTCTGGTGTGTCTTCATCCCAAGTCCTGAGAGCCGTGAAAAACTGATCTCACTACTTGCTAGGCAGTGGGAGACACTGTGTGGTAGGGAGCTGCCTTTGGAGCTCACTGGATAGTTTTGTTGGGTTTAAATATTTCAGCTCATCAGGTCTACAGTTATGAATTAAAGCACAGTACTGACTGATTTAACCCTGGATCAGCATTGTCTTCACAGCAATGTCACATTATATAGGGTGGTTTTTTCCCCCCTGTGCATTGCCATGCCATTGGTATTTCTTGTGCGGGGGGCGGGGGGTGTCATTACACAACATAAGCTGCTAAATGATTGTCCTGGAATTTTATAAACTCTGTTTTTATGTAGCAAGTAACATGTTCCAGATTCCTAATTAAGCATTCTAGGCCACTGTATGGAACAAAAGGAGTCAGCACTTGGCGTACTTTCATTTAGGGCTGTTAGTGTTTCCACTGTGTTTTTGTACAATGCTATTCTATACAAAAATGTAGAAATAATGGTATCAAAAGATGCTTGTGCTACGTTAAGGTGCAATGTTCTTTGGACAAGATGTACACTGCTTATACTGCTGATAATTATTTAATGATATTTCTTATAATTTTTACATTTTGTCTTTTTATGATGTATCAGTTTTTTAATTTTGTCGGCTAATTGTGAACATGATAGAATTCATCTAATTGAATGTTGATTTTACATGTCATTTATATTTTCATGAGATTGAACAAAGTTACTGGTTTTAACACCGCAGACAGGAGGATTAGTCAGGAATGATCATAATTATTTGATGCCAACGAATAATGAAACATTTGTTGTTAGTAGCACCTTGTTTTTGTTGCCAAATTTCTCAAAAAAATAATAAACTGAATTTTGACACTATAGTTTATTTTTAAGATATAATCAGATTCTTAGTAATTTGATTATGGTGCAGATCAGCAGGTGAAGTAAATGAAAAGACACGAGACTGTGAAAACAATTGATCCAAATCCTGAGCAAAAAAAATCAGAATACATTTGTATAAAGCGTGCATAAAAGAACACCTATGATCATCTTCTCTCTATTCAAACCCATTAACCTGCAAATAACTTGGTTTTTAATAATAATAATAATAATAATAATAATAATAATAATAAAGTTGGAAGGGATCTTGGAGGTCATCTAGTCCAACGCCCTGCTCAGGCAGGAAACCCTATACCATTTTGGACAAATGACTGTCCAGTCTCTTCTTTAAAACTTCCAGTGTTGGAGCATTCACCACTTCTGGAGGCAGGTTGTTCCACTGGTTAATTGTCAGGAAGTTCTAGGTTGCTTCTCTCCTTGATTAGTTTCCATCCATTGCTTCTTGTCCTACCTTCAGGTGCTTTGGAGAATAGCTTGACTCCTTCTTCTTTGTGGCAGCCCCTGAGATATTGGAACACTGCTATCATGTCCTTCCTCGTCCTTCATTAAACTAGACATACCCAATTCCAGCAACCATTCCTTGTATGTTTTAGCCTCCAGTCCCCTAATCATCTTTGTTGCTCTTCTCTGTACTCTTTCTAGACTCTCAACGTCTTTTTTACATTGTGGTGACCAAAACGATGCAGTATTCCAAGTGTGGCCTTACCAAGGCATTGTAAAGTGGTATTAATACTTCACATGATCTTGATTATATCCCTCTGTTAATGCAGCCTAGTAGGGTGTTGACTTTTTGGGCAGCTGCAGCACACTGCTGGCTCATATTTAAGTGATTGTCCACTAGGACTTCAAGGTCCTTCTCACAGTTACTACTATTGAGCAAGGTACCCCCTATACTATACCTGTACATTTGGTTTTTCTTGCCTAAATGCAGAACTTTACTTTTTTTACCATTGAATTTCATTTTGATAGATAGTGCCCAGTGTTCAAGTCTGTCCAGATCCTCCTTTATCCTAAGCCTTTCTTCTGGAGTGTTGGCTATTCCTGCCAGCTTAGTGTCGTCTGCAAATTTGATGAGTTCCCCATCTATCCTCTCATCCAAATCGTTGATGAAGATGTAGAAGAGCCCTGGGCCCAGAACAGAGCCCTGGGGCACTCCACTACACACTTTCCATCATATAGATGCAATTCCATTGAGGACCACATGCTGAGTATGGCCGGTCAGCCAGCTATGAGTCCATCTGGTGGTGATGCTGTCTAACCCACATTTTTCTATCTTATCAAGTAGTAGGTTGTGATCTACTTTATCGAATGCCTTATTGAAGTCCTAGTAAAAGGGGCAATTGTCCCATTTGTTTTAATTCAAACTTAAAGTGTTAGTAAACTGCATTTTATTTTCATTTTTCAAGAAAAAGCTTTCTTGTTAAGTACTACTTGATGGAGAAGATGGGGCTATTGCAGTCAGGTTTCATTTCTAGGCTTCCAAAGGGTGGTTGTTGTCTCCTGTGGACCAG